GTCTTCTCTTGATTTTAGAGCAGGGAAAAAGAAATATTATTTCTGCCAGGGAAAAAACAGGTATTTTCCTGCTTTCATGATGCAGTTTTCTGCCAGTTCAACTCAGTGCCACTCCATGAAGCAGAAAACGCTCGAAAGGAAGTGTTCTTTCTGTACAGCCCAGATCGCACTCCCACGACAAAAGCGCAAGCAGGTACAGGGACTAGCCGCCTCGTGCAAAAAAGCTCTACGCAACCGGCTCCTTTGCTATGCTGCAAATAGCACAGTGTCTCTTGTAACGGTCAGCCAAAATTCACCCTCCAGTAACGCAGCATGTTGGTTTTATTGTTTCCACCAGGTTTTCTTTAGGATCATAAGTCTCCCTGGGTGGAAGCCAATGGTAAAGGGAAAGGGAAAGGCTTCCCCTTGACATTAAGTCCACCCATGCCTGACTCTCGGGGGCGCTGCTCATCTCCCTTTCCTGGCTGAGGGAGCCGGCGTTTGTCCGCAGACAGTCTCCGTGGCCATGTGGCCGGCATGACTAAACACCGAAGTGCACGGAACGCTTTTACCTGCCCACCGAAGTGGTACCTTTTTATCTACTCGCATTTGCAGGCTTTCGAACTGCAAGGTTGGCAGGAGCTGGGACGGAGCAATGGGAACTCACCCCGTTGTGCAGATCCGAACAGGCGACCTTTCGATCAAACAGCCCAGCAGCACAGCAGTTTAAACCACAGCGGCACCTGCAGTCCCATTGGAGGCCAGTGGTAGTCCAATGCAAAATAGAATTACTGTAATGAATGGGATGTAAGGTCCTCTGATGAATTTCAGTCTCGTTCATTTCTTATTCTAGGTAAGACTAAGACTGGGTGCCACCCCTTGAGTGCTAGAAAGGTGGAATGCAGCTCTGATAAATGAATAATTCAAGGCACAGACCAACACTTGAATAGGCAGAAAAAAAGCCTACAACTCCCAAAATGCAGGGAGTTGGGGGGGGGGGCTTTTTTCTGTCTGAATACCTATAGGATACCCTTTAGAGTTGGTCCTGCAGTCTGGGAAGAGGACAAGTCACTGGTTCAGCTTCATCTCCTGTTTTTCTTTTCTGTCTTTGTGGACCCACAACAATCCAAAACAGAAAAATGTAGGTGAACATGATTCTGCAAGGAAACAGCTGAAGTTGGTGGCAGATCAAATGCGAGCTACCTCTGGCCAGGGCTAACCTTGGTAGACAAAACCCAGGAACCTGCTACCAGACGGACACCTGCAGTAAAAGGACCCAGTGACTTGTTTAACCAAAGTAAAGGGTATGGACCAGTCACCCTTCAGATGCATTGGACCGCAATGCCATGCTGTCTGGGAATGATGGGAATTGCAATCCAGCACATCTCAAGAGGGGAAGCTGGCTGGCAGCCATGCTCGGCAGAAGGACTGCTTGGCAACACCGGTGGCTTTCACAGCACACACAAGACACGATCACATCGCTGTGAGGTGCGGCAGCCGAGTCCAAAGCCTCAACTGCCTTTTGGTCCTGTGCTGGCACCTGGCAGCAGCCTCTGGGTGCTTTCATTGCAAGGTTCAGAACCTCAGCACTGGGGGGAGGGCGCATCTGGCCCCCGGGGCCCCCAGGGACCACCCTCCCCCTGGCCTTACTTTCTTTTCCCCAACTCCCAACAGTTTTGTGGCTTGGCTTGGCTTTACAACGGCTTCCATAAACCTGGTAAGTTAGAAGACCAAACAGTTTCAAACAAACAAACAAACAAACTTCTTTTGCACTGCAGTTTTCCATTTAAACTCATGGGACCATCAGGACTGCAAGATCCAAAACGGAGTCCACTTGCCTGATTGCCTGCTGCTCTTGGAATGCCTCTGCCACGCCCTGCGCAGGCGAGAATGAGGACAAAGGCAGGCTCCCAAATGGTGGCCTGGAATTGTATTGGCCTTTTTGGCTGCTGCATGACATGGGCTGCCTCCTACTTTGCTCACGACTGACCATAATCCCAGGATCCTTTTCTCCTGTGAGCCAAGAATCTCCCATCCTGTCCTCCCGCGTCGGATTCTTCCCCTCCATGGTTGCTGCCATCTCAAACGCAGCATGTTGCATCCCTCTGCAGGATTTCATGTGGTTCATTTCGACACAGTTGTTCATCGAGGTCATTTCAGATGTTAGGATTAGTCAGACGTTCCTGCCTGTTGGTTCTCAAGGAATGAACAGTATGCAACTCTGAAGGCATTTCCAGATTATGAATCAGAAAGTGGTGAGTATTTCAGATTAATCGGTGGGAGAACAATAGGACACCGTCCCACCCCAGGTCAGACTGCTTCTTTGTCTAGGAACACCAAGCCAGATCGACGGGCTCTTGCGCCCAAGACTGCCGGCACAAGCCATGCCGTAGCTCTCCAGGAATCAGGCCCAAGCGGAAGCTGGGAATTCAGCTTGCAACCTTCAGCAGGGAAAGCAGGAGCCCTGCAACCGAGCAAGGATGCCTTCCCATCTGGATTATCTACTTAAGAACATCGGAAAAACCATGTTGGTGTCTGCGACCCCAAAGGAACAATATCAAAACGGGACTGACTGGATGTCTAGCAGTGCTCGCCAGAATCTGTGCGAAGGTGCACGAAAGCCCCATGAAAGAAAGACTTTTTCTAATCTGGTCACTGATGAACAGATTCGAAAGAGGGCCCTGCAAAACAGCTGCAAACAAGCAGGCAAAGAGGGAGTTGTGCCGTTGTCTCTCTGTGACTTCCTGCTCAGCTCTTCTCCTGGATCAACCACAGAAAAGGGCTGCAGAATCCTGCCACTCCAGGTGGGACTGGACTGTGCTCCCATCAGCAAACCCGCCCCACATGCAAGGGCAGTGTAAGACCCTTTTTAGGTGAGGCTTCCCGGTGCACCCCTGCAGGAGTCCCCATGTTCTGGCCGGGCTTGCTTCCAAGGCTGAAGAAAAGTGCTCCACTTTTCCTTTCATAAAAATGCGAGTAGCCAGGGAGCCCAGCCGAGGGCAGCTGTTCCAACTTCCTCACCCGCAAATTGTAAAAAAATGAAATTTAAAAAAGTGAAAGCCTTGTGGAACAGAGAAGGGTTCCCACATTTCACAGGCGAAAGATACACAAGTTTCGCCAAACAGGTATGTGCAGAACACTCACGCAGGAAGAAGCGTGGGTGCACGCCCCACTCTCATGATAAATTCGGGCTTTTCTCGACAACCCTTCCTCTTCCTTCTCCAGTTTCTCTTACCGGATAAACTCCTTCCAGTCATAGCCAAAGCCGTCCCGCCACCCCCGAGCGGCGGCCTGTCCCCCCTCGTCCATCAGGGGGCTCCCTTGCGCAGCCGAGAGAGACCTCGCCTGCCCTCTGGTCCGATTCCGGGGAATCCCGCCCGGTCCCCCCTCCTGCCCTGCCATCGTAAACGGCGCGTCACTCGCACGCCCGTTCCGTGCTGCCTGCAGCGCCGTTGGCTGGCTCGGTGTGGGAGGCAGAGAAAACCGGACGGTCCGGTTTTCACCCGCCTCGGGCTCTTCCTGCCACCCTGCGCCACTTGGTGGCGTTCTTCCGCCTTGGGGGTCAGGAAGGCGCAAGTTGCCACCCCACCGGCCCGGCTGTATCTCCTGCGCTTTGAGCAGCGGCCCGCCCGCCCGCCCGCCTGCCTCCCCCGGAGGGACCGTGCCGACGACACTTTGGTTGGCATGCAGACAAAGGGGAGCTTCACCCGGTGGCTTTCCGCGTGCCAGATTGCTGTTAAGGGCACGGAAAAAGGAGGACTTGGCAACCCCCTTTTCCTACCTGGAAGCCATCTAAGGCTTCCCGCTGCAGTCTTAGGCACACCACCCAGAAAATAACACTCTTTGAAAACCGAGGTTTTCTTTTATTTTAATTTACAAGGTTGACTTGCGTTGGGTTCCAGACACTTTAAGAGCTTGGTGGCAGGCAGAATTTAGAAATGTTTTAATAAATAAATAAATAAAATAAAAAATTTCAACAAGTGCGGCTTCTTCCATCGCTAGATGGTGGTGGGGGAAGGGCCGGCTTCCCGTGGGGAGCGGGGGTAAACAAAGGCGCAGCTGGCTTGCTCTGCTGTGCCTGATGGACAGCACGGCCGGCGGTCCTCGCGTCTGCCCATTCCGGCTCGGGGCCAGGAAAAATGGCACTGGCTCTCGAATGCGCCCGCGGCCCCCACGCACTAGGCGGCGTGGTCGCTCCTCGCCCTTCCCCGCTGGGACGTTTGCGGCGGGGAGGGAAGAGCCCGGGAAGAGAGCCATCGAAGCCAGCGCCGCCTCCAGCCGGCCTGCGAGCTGGCGCTGCGCCCGGGGCGCACCTGGCACGCTTGGCGCTGCGCACAGGGCGCACGGAGCGGGGCTCCCCTCGCCGTTCTGCTGCCGCTGGGGAAGAGGCGCAGGAGGGGCAGGCGGCCAGGAGTGGGAGGAGCTGGAGGCGGAACTCCCCTAGGGAGGGGAGGCCGGTAAGAGGCGTCTGTGAAAGTCCCTACCATTCAGCTGAGCGGACGGGGAAGTCCCGGCTTCCTTCCTCCTCTACCGCGGAGGGTGGGCGAGGCGGGTGTCGCCGCCGCCGCCGCTCGGGATTCACTCGTGGGCGCCCACGGGGCACCGAGGCTGCTGCTGAGCCGCCCGCGAGCGACGTGTTTGCAGAGGACTGCGGCCACGAGCGAGGGAGAAGGAGAGAAAGCAAAAGGATGACTTGGCAAAGGACCGAGCCGGGAAGTCGGGCGGCGCGGCACCGGTGACTCCCTTCCCTGGGATCCAGTCGAGGAGACGGGGGTTCTCGGGTGGGCCTTCCTGCGCGTGCACGCCCTCGCTCCTCCCCGTGCGGACTTGGAAGGACGGGGCTGCCGCCCCCCAGAGAAGGATGACGCCCCGCGCGCCCTGCGCGAAAGGGCTCGGGGGTGATCCAGAGGCACGACCCCGGTGGTAAAAGGGAGGGCGTCGCGCCCGCAGCAAGGACCTCGGCCCCGGCCCGGGGGCGCTCGGGCACCCGCTCGCCCCGTCCCCTCCATCTCCGGAGCCGAGAGACGTGGAGCCCTCGTTGCACGTCGGGGGCCGACCTTCCTCGGCGGGCGACGCCAGAGCCAGCGTTGGCAGGAGGGCTCCCTTGCGACGAGGGCGAACTGATGCTGACGTCCCTGCCCGTGTCCGCTCAGCACCAAGGAGAGTCGGCAGGGTGGGCCGCCCCCAGGGCTCCGGGGCTTCTGGAGAAAGCGCTGCTGCTGCCCCCCCGCCCCCGCTTTGGTGACGAGGAGCAGCCGGAAACATGGCAGGGGAGCTACCTGTGGACCTGAGGACCTGGCGGAAGGGGGGTGGCCCCGGCAGATGGATCAGGCCAGACGGAGAGGCCGCTGCTGCCACCTTTGAAAGGCCGTCCCCTGAGATGGAGGCCTCCTTCGGACGCAGGGTCTCACTGGCATCCCAGCACAGACCCTGTGGGGAGACGGAGGGAGCACCCGATTCCACCTGCCAGCCTGGCCCAGGCGTTCGGAGTACAGCTTCCCCCCAAGTGGGGCTGGAGGGAGAGAAGAAAGCGCAGACGTGCCTGCCCCTGCGGAAGCGGCGCTTCCCTGCCACAGGTGGGGAGGGACTGGGGCCACTGGCCGGCAAAGTCCCCAAGAGAGAGAGCACCCAGGGGGAGACGGGGCCCTGGGACTTGCACAGCAACGGTTTCTGTCCCCCTTATATTCCGTTTGGCTACCCCAGGTTGCCCACAGCATATTATCCAGGTAAGGACTCGAGCCCCACCCACCCAGCTTCCCCGGGGGGCTCTTCCCTCTTCTCCCCTCCCCAGTTTTCATCCCTCCTAGCCCTGTGGGAAAGAAGCCCAGCACATTCCCATGCAGCTTCCTTCCCTGCAGCCACCTGCACCTCCCCCTTGCAAAACGCCACCCATTGCACCCGCTGCCCAGATCCATCCCAATCAACCCTAGCCAGCGCGGACAATGGAGGGTGTCGTCCGATTTTCTGGAGGGCTCCAGGTTGGGGGAGCCCCTCCTTGGTAGGAAGATTCTGTTTACACATTGCTGGGAAAGGCAAGGGTGTTTTGGCTCCCTCACCTGCCTGCAGCAAAAAACTTTTTTCTGGCTGCAGGGGCCAGGAAGAAGGAAATGTGCTGGCCACAGCCAGGCCGGCCACATGGATACCTGCGAAACTGGCAGTTGGAAACATTGGCTATTATCTCGCCACAGCCCCATTTCGATGCCCACAGCCAAAGTACCACTTCCTTCACCCAGCACTCAATCCGCACTGGGCTCCCAGATATTATTTTACCAGCTGGTTTTGGTTCTTCCTGAGATAGGACCCTTGGAATACTTGCATCGTGTGGTACGGAAGTGCATTATTATTGCCAATGAGAATAATTACCCCCCAGCTGCCCAGCAATTCAGAGGTGGCACAAGATTCCAAGTGCGGAGAACTCTTGGTCGGGCTGGAGCCAGCCCAGCGACAAGGTGGACTGGAAGGGCCTCACTCCAGTGGCAGAATTGGGGGCACCGCTGGAGAGGGACAAGATCTATCCTGCCAGACCTTGGCCTGTTGTGGTTGCAGCTGGAGGGCGGCTCGAGGACTTCAGGCCGCTTTGAGCCCAGGTGCCCTCTCGACTTTTACCCCACTGAGCAAATAAGCCCCGTCCAAGTGACACATCGGGCTGCACAGGTGGAGCAGAATGAGTTTCGAAGCAAGGCCCAGGGCTGGTATTCTTGAGCAAAGTACTTGTATCCAAGCCCAGTTTTCAGCTCAGTTTTCAGCGTGAGCTTTCGGAGTGCGGGCGCCCTTTAGGGAGTGTGTTTTTGTTTTTGTTCGACCACATCAACAAGAGCGCCTGTATTTCTGGTTATAATGAGGCATAAACATGCACGCATGCACACACCCTGCGCATGTTCTTTCTCCTCATCTCCGCATGACATTTCGAACTGCAACTTGCCATGGGCTTCCTGGTTGCCTAGGTCTGCCCCCTCCAAGCCGATGCCCTCAGGAAGCATTGGACAGCAAACCCATCCTCCTCAGCAGGATGTGTGTGATGGGAGCTGTCCCCCAGCACACCTGAGGGGGCGCCCGGTTCTGGAAGTCTGCTCTGAACTGCCAACGGGGCGTGAGAGTCTCGGGCACCCGGCTTCCTTGTGAGGTTTCGCGGGTCCTTGCAGCTTGTTCAACTGTTCCCTCTTTTGCTCTCTCCCTGCCCACCTCAGGTCTGGCCGGCCCCTTCCTGAGTCCTGAACTGCCTCCTCTTCTGCACCCCATGACCCCACACCCCTTGGTAGGGGTTCCCACGCATTACTCCCTGCTCTGCCCAGTAGAAGCCCAGCTGGCCTTGGACATTGCCACAGCGACCAAGCAGGACGAAGACGGAGACACGTAAGTGGGGTGATGCCCGGGAGAAGGAGCTGCAGCGGGGATAGGCCGCCACCTGTCTGCTGAGGTCCTCAGAGAACCGTGTCTTGGCCAGCAGTACGTGAAGTCTGTGGTTAGAAGAGCAAGTCTGGGAGGAGGTGTGTGAGAGTAAGCCCTTGTGCTCAACGGGCAGTCTGCACATGCTCAGAGGCAGTCTTTTAATATTCCCTTTCCCAAAGATGAGAGTCTCCTGGGACTGGGAATAAAGTCCTGGGTGGGAGCTGAGTTGCAAGCCCCAGTTAAAATAGCCGGATAGGAGCCGACCACCGTGCTGTGAGGTGAGGAACGGATGGGGAAGGTGGAGAGGCGCCGGAGGACGTGGCTGGGAGGGCACTGCCGTGGGTTTCCTGCTGGCAGCCTGCCATCCCTCGCTGGAGTAGATGGACCTTTGGTCCTGTCCACCTGGCGTTCGTATTCCTCGGCGGAGCTTGATCGTTCTGCGGCCTGGAGCTGCAGCGAGGCGTTCCTGCCCCAAAGCACCAGTTCCCGAGCCTTGACCCGCCAAAGAAGGAATCGCGGGCGAAGGGGAACAGAAAGGGCCTCCTCCTGGTCCCGGGATGCGATGCGCTGCACAGGACGAGGGCTAGTGCAAGCCCCCCGCGCTCCCTCTGCTTGCCAGGAGCACGAGCTCTGCTCCTCAGGGAGAGAGGGAGAGCCCAGCTGTCCGCCACTGATGCAGTACTGAAAAGGGGGAGCCGGTGGCCATCACGCCAGTTCCATTTTTCTGGCTGAATTGGAACTTGGTCACGCTTGGAGAAGACCTGTTGACATCAAGGCGGCGTCCCATGGAAGCCAATAGGCCGCATCCTGCCAGGCTCAGGCAGACACAAGGGACAGTTATCCACACAACGGCACGTGACTGATGCGTGGAATTCATTTCCACCATCCGCAAGCGACAGCTGCCAGGCTGGACGGGTTTCTGAAACGCGGGGCGGGGGGTGCTGCCTTCACAAGCAAGGGCTTTCTCCGTGGCTGCCGAGCTGGGGGAGAGCTGAGCGGAGCCTCCCCATCCAAGGGCAGTGTACCAGCCCTCGGGAGCAACCGGGCGCCTCCCTCCCTCCCTCCCTCCCGTGCCCTCCTTGCAACCTTCCCTGTCGCCTGGGAAAGGGTGGACTCTGCGAGCCTTTAATCTTGCCCAAGAGGCTGCCTCGCCCGGCTTCCGCCTGGTTCGGAGCGGAGCGCTCGGCTCGGCCCCTGTTGTCACTTCGAAGCAGTTCCTGCTGCGGCTCCTTCGTGAGAGCCGGCCGCGGAGAGGGGAATCCCCGGGCTCCACTGTAACCGAGCCCTCCCTGCATGCACCCGCGCGCGCCCACGCCCCCCCACGCCCCCCCGCCCGCACCCGCGCGCGCGCCCGCGCTCCCCCGTCGCTCCTCCCTCCCCTGCTGACGTTCCCCCGCGTCACTCGTGGCGGCCCCCCCCCCTTTACTGGAATGGGGCAAAGGGAAGAGATGAGCCCTGCGGGGGGAGGGAGCGAACCACAGGCTTCCTGCCCCCTCCCTTCCTCCCTCCCCCTCCGGGTCCCCAAGCGCCCCGCGCGGGTGGCTGCCCCGCAGAGCCCGGAGGGGAGGGCGGGGGAGCTGCGCGGACGAGGCGCGTGCCCGCTCCGCACCGCACCGCGGAGAAGCGAAGCGAAGCGAGGCACGGGGGCCCGGGCGGTGCGGCAGGAAGGAGAGGTCACAGCCGCGCCGGCTGCTCTTACTGGAAGGCTGTGCCCGGGGGCCCTTCCCTCGGCTGTGGGTTTGGCCCCGAGACGATAAGATGGTTTCGTTTTATTGTAAGCGGAGAGTCAGTCGGTTTCTGTGAAGTCATATGGATGCAGCACGGTTTGACACGGGGGAGGGGAATTGCAGGCAGGTATGTGGGGGGGGGGGGGAAAGAAAACCTAGGGGTTTCTAGGGCTGAAAAGGGCTGCAAGAGGACGACTAGGGAGTCCCCCCTGTGCCTTCGCTGTTTTCTGGGTGGTTGGTTGGTTGGTTTTTTCACAACGACTTTTGTATCTGCTTGCAAAGAGCCTGGTGTGACAGCCATGGTTTTCCTCCTCCCTAGTTTAGTGTCACAACGACCCTGTGAGGTAGGCTGGGCTGAGAGGCTGTGACTGGCCCAAAGTCACCCGGTAGGCTTCAGGGCTTAGCTGGACTAGAACCCAAGAATGCCTGAGGTTCATCCCAACATGTGCCGCCCCCCTCTCGCCACACTGGCTTCCGTCGTGCAGGTCATCCGCAGAAGGGACGGCACACTGAAATTGCATGTGAAAGGACACCGAGGCTGCAGGAGCTTTTCTGCATGACCTAAAATCCCCGAGTCAGGGAATCAGCTATTCAAAATGTGGCCAGGAAGGATGGAAAGGAAGAGCCATAAAAACCGGGGCAAGGGGCAAGGAGTCCGTGCCGTCAGTGGCCACAAACTCTAGGGACCTTCCCTTGCTGCGCACAGCCAGGCCTTGGTATGTGAACAGAGAGGATGTGGAATAGATTTTTTTCTGCCTCCGCATTTGGCTTTTGCAGGAGGCACTGGGGGAAATCCTTCCAGCCTGTGAATGTGCTACAGGGGAACCTTGGAGAGGGTCCACAGTGGACCATGGAAACCCCCCATATATCGGCAGAATATTAATCCAAGTGGGAATGTGTGGGTCTAACCATGGACAAAAACAGGAGAGAGTATATGCGCTAGTGTTTGTGACGCATATGGAAGAGCTAGGAAGGACCACAACACCCTTCTAGAATCATGGAATAGAAGAGTTGGAAGGGGCCATGAAGGCCATCGAGTCCAACCCCCTTCCCCGAGCGTTGCTCTTCAGATTGCTGATGGACCCCTTTTCTGCCCCATCCTAGGCCCCTCCACATCGCCGTGGTGCAGGGGAACCTGCCGGTCGCCCAGCGTTTGGTTGCTCTCTTCCGCCAGGGGCAGCGGGACCTGGATATTTTCAACAAACTGCAGCAGGTATGTACGAGCAACAGAGAGGGCCACTGCGAGGTGCAGGCTGGGCTGCTGGGGAAGAGCGGTGCAGGATATCACCGAAGCCCCGAGCAGTGGTTTCTCTCAATCTCACAGGTGAGGCATGGGAGCAGCTTCACCTGCTGCCTGCACCTGGAATGTGGACTTGTCCTGCCTCTGATGCTGCATGGGGACAGGGGAAGGGCCGGCCCTGCCACTAGACCAAGGAGGCTTCCAGTTGTGGGGCGACAAACCATTACGTTCAATTTCTTATGACTCCCTTTTTATCATAGCAGTGAGGGAAACCCTTACGGAATTTTCTGCAGCAGGTAGCAAAGCATTTGTCGGTCTTAAGGCTCTGCATTCCAGATGGGTTGGGCTGGACTTCCCGTCCTGGCCAGCCGGCACAGCCGTTGGGAATTGTGGGTGTTGCAAAATTGCCCAGCCCGATTCTGCAGGTTCCTCTGCTAGAGAAAACTGGTGTGTGCGTTTCTCTGGTTGCCGTTCGCACAGTCCAGACTGCCCACGGATTGCTGAAGGCCCCGTTCTGCCTTTAGCTCTGCCACAAGCCCAGCTTGTGCCTTGAGCTTTGGTTGGTGGGATTCCAGGACTCAGTGCAGCAGCATGTTGGATCCCCCAAGGCCAACGGCTCTGAGTTTGTACAAAGTAAAGAGTGAAGATCAGGTTGGGAGGCGTGTGTGTTTTGCAGGGCACCCCAAAATGCCCAGTTGCACATGGGAGTATTTCCACAACAGCGCACATAAAAGATCACGGTGAAACACACAAAAGCCCTACGTTCTATCCTCATAAATGAAGTTGTGTGTGTCCTACACATCTGTTCAAGCATTTGCAGTACAGCACGGAAATCTTTTTCCCAAGAACAGCTCTGTTACTTTTTTAAAAGCAAGTGGCTAGCCCTCATGGTTTACGTCCTAAACTTTAGGAGGATCAGCTTGACTGTGTAGAGGTGATGTCCGCTAAACCAGTAGGAGGGCTGAATATGTTTTCCAGTGTCAGAGGCAGACGGGGTGACGTACTGGTCTTGCACTTCAATTCTTGCCCCTCCCCAAAGGAAAACAAGAAGGATGCGACATGATGAAGCAAATGGGCTTCATTTCCATGATTCACAGTGGTTGGAGAATTCCACTTTTTCTGCCATGGAATTTTGATTTTCAAAACAAAACCTGCACAAATGAGAAGTCAGGGTGGGGGCTTGCTCAGCACCAAAAGGACCTGGGGCTCAGGCTCACAGAACAAAGACAGAAACAACAATGCACCAAAGCATGGATTCAAGAAGGGCCCATTTCCCAGGGAGACCCCGCTTTGTAAAAGAGGCCCCGTGCACAGCGGGAGGGGAGGGCACTTGGTTTCAGAAGAAAGCCTCAAGTCGAACGATTTGATGTGGGGTAGCAGGAAGCAAAGCTCTTGCGGGCAAAGACCTGGCAAGGCCCAGGGGATCTGATGCACGAGAGCTCGCTGGGGCCCTGGCGCGTGTCTTTCGGCAGCCGTCTCCTGGGGCAGAGGCCCTCCCTGAGGTGCTGGGCTGCAGCTGAAAGATTTGGGCCGCCGGGCCATATGGGCCACCCTGTATCCCACCCCTGAATGCAATTCAGGCAGTTCCGCTCCAGCAAGCTGTGTCCCCCCAGAAGGAACCATCCACTGGCGCCTCTGCAGCAGAAGGGGTGGGGGAGAGTCGGTGGCGAGCAGGGGGCGCAGAGGGGCACGGCTGCAGAACGGAGCCTGTCCGCTGCGATGAACTCCCACAGGAGCCCTTTGGGGGGACGCCGGGGAGGGAAGGCGCCTGCACAGCCGTGGGGCTTCGACAGGCAGCGGCAGAGGGAGGGGACGAAAAGGGCAGGCCAGCTCCCAGGAGGCTCCGGGGGCCCAACTCTCTCACCGAGGGACTTTCCCTCGCCCCAGCTGGCAGCCGTCCCCAGCCAACTTCCCCAGTGCGTTACTCAAAAGTGATCACTCTCCACCGTCAGCCGGCCGGACTGACTCACAACTGCAGGAAAAAACTCTCACGGGGGGGGGGGGGGTTGTTTGTTTGTTTTTTCGCCTGTGCTATCTGGGTTGGGGCAGGCGCTCAGCAAGATGACTTAGAATTAAGAATGCAGAAAGCAAACGCTTTTAAAAACAGGCCCCGATGAGAAATATCTATGGAGGGAGAGCAGTGGCGTCGTCACCAAGCCTGAAAGAATGCTTTTTCCAAATGGCCTTCAGATCTTGTGTTTCAAGACCACAGAGCAGGAGCCAAGCAGACTTCTTGGGAGAGGGAATCGGACCTGTGCGAGGCCGCCACTGAAAAGGCTCTTCCTGGGAATGACCACTCTCTGTGGTCAATCTCTGAGCCCAGACAGATTTGTAGGGATGCACGAAACAGCAAAATTAGAGCTTGCCAAAGTTCCAAGAGAGAGAGAATCATTTCTCCTGCCATGCATGTTTTCAGAGTCATGCCCCAAGCTGTTGCGTGTGTAGCTTTTGGCTCTTTCAGAAGCACTTTCCCTTCTTACACACACCCCTGCCCCCAACCCTGGTCGGTCTGTGAGAGAGATCCAAATCTGAGATCCGTATCAGAAGAGCAAGATGGCCAGCAAGACAATGCATCTCAAAAGCGAGGTCATTTGTGTCACCAAATGGATGGGGAGGGGGAGCATTCTGTCAAAACCTGGTGACCATCCACCGACTACAGGAAGGGAGCTTTCCCTTACTGGCTGCTCATCTGTCTATTTCGTGCGATTAATTCTTCTTGCCTTCTGGTGGCATTAATGTACTTCCCTGGCTGCTACCAGAAATGCTTTTATTTGGACACTGTACCTGGGTTTTTCAGTTGACCAACACCATCATTTTATTACCTTTATACCTTGCCTTTTTTCCTCTTCCGAGGAACCCAAGGTGGCTTATATTTTCTGCGTCTCCATTTTGTTCTCACAGCAGCCCTGTGTGGTAGGTCAAGGCGAGAATGAGGACTGACCCAAAGCCACGCAGGGAGCTTCCTGGCCAAATGGGGGCTAGAGCCCGGATCTCCCATGCCCCATTTCGACACCGTAACCCCTGTGCCACACTGGCCATCAGTGATGCAACTTGCATTGTCTTTTCTTGCTCCTCTGCCCATAGTTCTGGCTTCATCTCTATATTTGCTTGAGCACAATAGATGGTTCCATGATTCAGCCCTAAGATCTATATCTGCAATTTATCAAGCTGCTATTAGACACCTTCCCTTTAAAAGCTTGCATTGGCAGACTAAGTTTGGTCTTTCCATCCCTCAAGGCAGATGATGGCATTTGGCAAAAATTGGAAGAGGCAGAAGTTTTAAGAATTGCTTTCTAAATGCTCCAAGCCAGGTCTCCCGAACTGTGTTTGGCCCTTGTCTAAGCTTGCCTCCTGTCCTCCCATTCCTTCCATGAGCCTGGCATGATGAACGACTTCTGAAGAACACTTGGGCCCTGACTTTGGAGGATCTCCAAGTGAAAGAACTATTTATAGGAACAAATTCTCTCTCCCCCCCCCCCCCGCACCCCTCTCTTGCTTCCGGACTAATAGCTCCCAGCGCTGCCAGTCAAGGGGTTGCACCATCTTTCCACCTTTGCCTCCACAGCGGGTATTTCTGGGGAGGAAAAGAGGCAGATGAAGCAGCTGGAAAATATGGGAACTTCACGAGTGGAAAATGAGACCTCCCCTACTCCAAAATTCCATGTTCAGGCAAAGGCCGGCCGGGAAGCCCCCTCTCTCGGGAAACCCGCTCTCTCCACTCGCCTCGTTGGAGGCAGCCAGAAGCCTTGCTGAGGGGCCAGGTGCTGTGGCTTGCTGGAGCGAATTCTGAAGAACTGAGTGTTTGTGTTGTGTGCGTCAGCGGAGGGCGCCTCGCTTTGGCGTAGCACAGCCCACGCTCCCAGCCTGTCCCTGACCTGCTGTCATTTCCTTATCTGTTTCTTATAAACCCTGCTGCGAACCAGCCAGAACCCTTTCTGAGAAGCGTCAGTTACGTCAGCTCGGGCAGGTGCTGGTGGATGCGGTTTCTGCTGAGGTTTCTTCGCTGGGTTTCCTCCGGGTGCATAAGAGACGTTGCGCCTGGCACCAGCAAGTTCTTCAGTTGCGCAAAGCCACGGATGTCACAGCAGCGAGGGTGTGTGTGCACACAAGTTTGGCTTTCTCCACTCGTTTGCTTGCCGTTAGCCAGAAATGACCTCCGACACCCTGTAGGATTTCTCTCCATGCTCAGAGGTGCCCATATGGGGATGTCTTGATCCGCCACCCACCCCGGAAATGATTTAAATATGTATATCCACAGCGGAGGCTCTGATAGCGATTGTAAGAACATAATAACCGGAATAGGGCTGATTCTTTCTCCCCCCAGCCAAAAATCAGGGTGCGGAACTGGCCCGGTCCCCATCCTGTTTGCTGAGGTTCCCTGGAAACCAGCCCCTTTCCTCTGTGCTCTCCCGCTTTTTCTGTTTTGCCCTTCTCAAAGCTTGGAATGCCTCTTTCGAGTCTTTCTTACTGGCAGTTAAGAGTTTTAAGCAAAAATATGTCAGTTTGGCTTTGGTCTTGCCCATCACTGGAATGCAACACCCGGATGTTTTTTTGAAGTGGAAGCTGACCCTCAAGCCGAACGACGTTCAAAACCCTAATAAGCAGAAAGGAGAGGCAACAGAGGAAGGGAGAAGAAATAGAAGTGGAAATGAAATGGCTGTAATATGTCAGCTTCTTGGGCTTAACTTTAGAATAAAAAAGGTTCGTCTTGAATTTAATAATGCAGAAAACTAGCACTGCATAATGTACAAACAAACAGAAGTGGGTGGAGAAGATAATTTTATTCCTACATTTTCCATTGCACTGATTTTTGCCTGCTTTACTGTTATTTTATCCTTTTTTGGACGGATTGTCTTAATTGCGTTTGTGAGTTGTCCTTGAGTGCAGTTATGGTGGAGAGCTGGGAAAGAGCACCTTTTAGGGGAAAGCTGTCCTAGCATCTAATCACATGAATGGGAATTCGCTTCCAAATCTAAAATATCCAGTGCACAGCTTAAAACTGATCCCAAATAGTTATTTTCAAAACAATCCTTTTGAATGAAAATTGGAACGCTTTGAGGAATCCAGTTAATATCCCAAGCTTTGTACTGGAAGTCAAATGCAAAGCGGAGGCATGCTTGAAGGGCCGGGCTTTTTTCTGTCTACATATACACGGGACTGGGCCATATGTTTATTTAAAAGCAAGCCAGGGTATAACTGTAGCAGCCATCGATTCCCACCGGTACAGCCCCAGCAGGGATCCATACTTAGACAGAGGACTTTGTCCCCTCTGCTCCAGACTCCTTTACACTTGGCGGTCATCACCTCGCAGCCGTCGCTGGTGAAGCTGCTGCTCTCTCACGGGGCGTCTCCTATGGTCCTGGACCGGAATGGGCAGACGTCCCTGCACCTCGCCTGCGAGCATGCCAGCCTCCGCTGCCTGAAGGATTTGCTGCAAGGAAACGCTGCCCTGGTGGATCTGGAAGCCCGCAATTTCGAAGGTGAGCGCAGACACATCCCAGAGAAGCGGGGGGTGGGGGTGCTTCCCAGCCGCTTGCTCTTACTCAGATGGCGCTGCCTGGGAGGTTTTGGACTGCACCTCCCAGCATTCCTGACCACTGGCTATGCCAGCTGGGTCTGATGGGAGCTGTAGTCCTGAACTTCTGGAGAGCACTAGGTCGGGGAAAGCTGGTGTGGGGAAGATGCCCCTCTGGGAACTTCTGTTACTGTTCTTCATACAAGCAGCACCCTGGAGCTGACCTTTTCCCCTCTCCAGATGTTGCTGGGCTCCAGGTCCCACAATCCCCAGCCAGCATGGCCAGTGGTTGAGGATGATGGGGGTTGCAGCCCAGCAACATCCAGAGGGCTGCTGTTTTTCCATCCCCGATTCAAAGATCGGTACAAGCGAGGGTCGCATGGAGGGAAGGGGAGGGAAGGGAAGGTTAGCTTTCCCCAACCTGGTGCCTTCCCATTGTCTGAGGGTGATGGGAGTTGCAATCCAACCTGTCTTGTGGGTGCCAGCTTGTGCAAAGCTGATTTAGGGTTGATTTTCCCATTGCCTGGTGGTTGGGAGTCTCTCGGATAATCTCACCACTGGGTTTCCACCCCACAAGTGCCGCATTTCTCTCTCTGTCTTCTGACCAGGCTTCACCCCACTCCATGTCGCTGTCGGGAATTCCAGCTGTGAAGCAGTCCTCACCCTGCTGGAACACGGGGCCGACATAGATGCTGTGGTAAGTGCAGGGCCTGCGAAGAAGCGCGGACTGAATGCTGGCAGCCGTGTGGACACGGGGCAGGTGGGCGGAATCAAACTTCCCGAAGTGAAATGGCGTTCTGCTGCCATTTGAAGCAAGAGAGCACCTGCCTGCCTTCTGTCCTTCTCTGCATCTGGCACCATGAGTGCATGCATGGCATTTCATGAACTAGAACAGCACAGGTGTCTGCCCCAAGGAGCTTACAGTCTCAAGCTCAGAGACAGGGTGAGATGCTTTTCGCTGAGCTTGGCCACGAGAGATGGCAGTCAGGAGCTCTCCAGGATTTCAGGCAGATTTTCCGGCCCTGCCGGGGAGGGCAGCTGAGAGCTGCTGCGTGCAAAGCGGGGGCTGTACCACGCGGCATCATCCCTCCCGTTGGATGTGAGTTTGCATCTGGGGATTTAAACCATCTGCCTGTGGAGATGAACCTGAGCTCAAGGCAGATGGGGAAGGACTTTTGAAGGTCACAGGAGGAAATCACACGCAAAGGAGGAAGTTCTGGGCAGCAAGGCAGTTGCATGGGTCTCTCTACACAGGGGCAAGCCCCCCACCCACCGATTCCAGCCATGATACTTTTCTGACGGCAGCAATAGCAGCTGCAGATTACCTCTGGTGTTGGCTTTCAGCCATATGGAGAGTCTCTGGACAGGCCAGGCGGCCAGGCAATTAAATTCAAGCAGGCAGAAGTGAAAAGCCAGTGATAACGAGGTGAAACATGAAGCCAGAACCCCCAAATTTGACCTAGCGTGTTCATTTCTCCCCCCAGTCCTAAAGACACCCCCACAGACCCCTCTGCTATGCCACAGAGCCCTGTTTCCCAACCAGGAGCCCTTCAGTCCTCCGTGCTGAGCAGCCCCAGCCGGCAGGGTTGGTGGGGGGAGCAGGGGGGCTGCAGCCCAAACCTCTGGCGTGCAGCAGTTTGGGGAAGACTGTTCTAGAGGAGTTGCTGAAGGAACTAGGAAGGAGCCAAGTGGTCAAAGGTCTGAAAAGAGCAATAATGCCATAAAAGCCTCAATATTATATTCTTAAGATAACGTGGGCTTGTGCATTTGGGAGTTTTTTGCCCTTTTCGCCCAAGGAGGGTTGCGCAGCTTTGTCCCCGCCCCTGGAAACAATTCTGCCGGTGAACATGGAGAATCCAGGGGAATTGCTTGAGGAAATGGGAGCTGTTCCCGTGGCTGAGAAGAGACTGGTTTGCTTCTGCAAGTCATGGGGAGGAGCTGCTTACTAAGCTGAGTAACAACCCCCATAGAGATGCATCCTGGTTCCTTTTTGCGCCGCAAAGTTCCAACGTTACTAAATACTTCTGGCCTTGTGGGTGTGTTCCTTCCACAAGTGCCCACATGAGATGGCCTGCATGTGTGAACCGCTCGGCACAGGTTCATTGCCCCAGACAGAACATTTAACCCCCCCCCCCCGATGCTGACTGCACTTAAAGAGTCCTTAGCACAAATTTAATTGTGGAACATAAGCTGAACAAATAAATAAGCACAACAAGCCTTTTGTTAGTGTGGGTTGGGCGGGTAAGTGGAACTGCCAACACATTCTGCTGTCAGCCGATGTTGAGCAACCGAATTTATCAATGCATTTTTTTTATTTATTTAAAGTGTTTTATATGCCGTCCCCTTGCTATATAGCCTCGGGACGGCTCACAGAAATAAATAAATACAAAATAAATAACAAATTACAATTACAATTAAAACCAGTTGTGCAACACTGGCTGCACAAATTAAAACCTATAAATATGAAACATTATTAGAAATGTTTTATTAAAAAAATTATCGTATGCATTATTTAAAAAAATTATCACATGCATATCCTGCCGTATTCTTTTTTTTTTTCAAGAGCTCAAAGTGGCTTGCATCGTTCTCCTGCTGCAAATACTGGCAGATTCCAGAGCGGTGAGCAAAGCAAAGCTAAAAGAGATGCCAGGAGAAATGCACTAAATGCAAGATGACATTAAAGCCATGACGATTCTGACAGCCTATAAAAGCTTTTAATACATAAATAAATAAAACAAAGGTGTCTGCAGCAGGTGCTGAAATGCAGGTGCTGAAATGCCTTGAAATGGGACCACCACACTGAAGGCTGTTCAGTCAGGGGGATCCATAGTTAAGGTATGGAACCCCCAGGTTTTTTCTCCATTCAAAAAAGTTGAAATGCCTTTCCTAAGACTTAATTACTGGCAGCAAAAGCTTCCTCCCACCCCAAAAAAAGCTTCCCCAATATGAAATTCAGCCCTCAAACCAAACAGCTTCAGCACGGCAGTTTTATAGAGATTTCTTCTCTCTGGGTTAATCTGTTGCTGTTTGTCCAGGATTACAGAATAGATAACGTAGGCACTCTGTGCTAGCAGAAACAAAACATAACCCTGCCAAACCTGCATGGATTTTATATAGAGATCTTTTAAAAAAAAAACTTGATTTTATTACTGTTTTCCTGGGTAGCAGATGCACACATGCAAATGCAGAGCTTATGCAGAGAAGAGCAGGCCTGCTCGGCCATGGGAGAATAAAAAGGTGCCGGGGCCACCCCTGATGTTCCCCGGCACATGGTGCAAAGCCGTGGAGGGGGCTTCTAAGCACATTCAGCCAGTGCCCCTCTGCAGCTGTTACAGATCTTAAAAACCCGGCACTGTGTTCCTCCTGTCTGAGTAAGCTGCAGTTTGCTTTTGAGTATTCCAGTTTCTTACTTTCCCACCCTGCAGAAATGGGAAAGAAGGAACGGGTATTTTATTTTATTTTATTTTATTTTATTAATTAATTTCCGATTTCTATCCTGCCTTTTTCCTACAAAGGGCTCAAGGCAGCTTACATCTCCTCCTCCATCTTATCCCCACAACAACAACCCTGTGAGGTGGGTTGGGCTGAGAGTCTGTGACTGGCCCACAGTCACCCAGTTGGCTCCATGGCTGAGCGGGGACTCGAACCCAGATCACTTGAGTCCCAGTCCTGTGCTCTTAACCACTACGCCATGCTGGCTGTCCTCTCCTTTTTCTGCTTAATCATCTTCTTTCTCTTTTTGAAAGAAGCTTTACTCTTCCCTAATCCCCAACATCAATCAGACCTTCCGTTTCTTTCACCAGAAAGAGACACCCTTTTATCAAAGTAACCTTATAATGTACCAGAATTTCACTTCTCTTAATTGTTTGCAGCTGTAAGGGACCGCTTTTAAGTTTTTCCACCCCATCATCAATTTATTCAAGAATGGAAAGAATCAATTACAATAATTCCAATCTCTTAATATGTCATTCATTTGTATCAATGACAGTAAATATTTCCTGTCCTTCTGTTCAGCATGAAGCAAGGTGATACGCTGCTCTCCAGATTGGACAACAACTCCCATATTCCCTTACCATTTACTTTGCTGGCTGGGGCTGATGGAAGTTGTAGTCTGACGCATCAGGACACTGCCCAATAACCCTCTCGTTTTGCTTTCTCTTTCTTCTTCTTTTTTGAAACACATCTTGGCTTATTCCACTTCCTCCTTTTCCTTCCTAAATTCCCATGTCTATGCAGGAAAGTCATCAGATTTCTGGCCATAATCTTAGAAGAAGCCAATTGCAAACTTTCCTTTGTTTGTTCTTGTTAGAAGAAGCATCCAATTTCAGGGGTTATGGAAATGCTGGAGAAAATCCGGGACCCTCTCAAGGCCTCAGCCGCTCAGTGCCGGCCGGACACGTTTGTGCCGTGGCTCCGTCACTCCCCGGCAGCCCAGCTGCGGCTCTTGCAGGGAACCGAACCGATGCCCTGTCACCCCCTCTTTTTCAGGACATCAAGAGTGGGAGATCCCCCCTGCTGCACGCGGTAGAAAACAATAATCTAGGGATGGTGGAACTTCTCCTCCAGGTAAGGAAGTTCATCCGCCTGCTGAACCCCAGTGCCGCTTGCCGATCCCTCTGCTGGGCTTGTGCCCCCTTGTCAGGATGCAGCCTGGTTAAAAATAACACGAAGAACACGCAAGGAGGAGGAAATGGCAGCATTCGAGTCTCACCCTGACCCTGGAGAAGGCCACCTGGTGCCCTCCAGACAGTCTGGATTGCAGCTTCCATCAGCTCCACCCAGCGAGACCAGTGGAAAGTTTTGGGAGTTATAATGCGAAACATCCAGCAGGCAATAGGTGGCATGCTGCTTGCCAAACCACAGTTCAGTGTGTCATAAAGGATTGAGCCATGGCAAGCCCTGGGCTCATATACACCCTGCTTCTCTCCTCCTTCCTGGCTGGAGACGTTCATTTTGCTTACCCTCAGCATGTTGTTTCATGTGTACGTCAACTGATCTTCCAGATCCAAGGCCTCTGATACAGACCCAAAAAGCAACCGTTGGTCATGTCATCCTAACCAACAAACTATGGTTAACCTGAACTGTGGGTTAATTTATACCAGCTGGCTGGAGTTCACTGACTTGCTTAAACTAACCACAGTTAGCAGGAACTATAGTTGACAGTTGCTTACTTGAAACTAACCATAATTAAAACCAAACAGAGTTTGTTGGACCAAACAAGAGGAGCGCTCGCTGTTAGGCAGGTGTTCCCCAGTTCCTCCGGCTGCACCATCAGAGAGAGGAGGAAGGAGGGCCCAAGCCCAAGCCTTCCTGCTGAAATTCATGCCAGGCTGAGCTCGGGCTTAGCAGATATCTCCCAGATGCTTCAGATTATAGCATCTGGTAAGCGGGGCCAAGGGTGAGGAGCATTTTAATCCAAAACATCTGGAAGCCACAAGGTTGGGGAAAGATCGTTTGGCATAATAGTCACATGCTGTCGATAAATAAAAACCTCTGAGGGTAAAACTGCTTACACAGCATGTTAATTACACCACCTGTCACTAAACTTTCTTTCCTTTTTTCCCTCTAGTATAGGACTGGGCAGCCTCAGTTCGGATCAGCTCCACCACAGGGCGAATTAAGCCCATCCCTGCAAACCATTTGCTTTTCAAAATTCCCCACACCTGCCCAGAGGTTAAAAATTATTTTTAAAAAACCCAGTTGATATCAATGGACCCCCCCACCCACCTTTAACCTACATGTTGGGGGTGGATTTGGGAAGCAAATGGCCGCAAGAGAAGGTTTTGTCCTCCCTTCGTGGTGGACTGCGGTCTCTATCCAAATCGGGGCTGCCTGCACCTTCTCTGGAGTAATAAGAAAGATCAGGTGCACTTTCATGCTAGGTAATTTACAGAAGTAAAGCTTTGCCACAGTTGCAAAAACCAGGGGCTCAGGTGCAGGCATCAGAAGGGCCAGAAGCTTTTCTTCTGGCCTTTAAAGTGGGAAGTGCGGAATTTCACAAATCTCAGCACTGGGCCGCGTCATCCCAAAACCGCTCAACAACCGTGTCTTTTCCCCGCCACGCAGCACGGAGCCAACGTCAACGCGCAGTCGTACGGGGGCAACACGGCACTGCACGCCGCCAGCGGCCGGGGCCTCTTGGACACCCTGCGACTCCTGGTGCGCAACGGGGCGGACGGCAGCCTCAAGAACTACCACAACGACACCCCTCTGATGGTGGCCAAGAACAAGAGGGTGAGAGGACGCGGGGCGGGGGGCGAGGCATAATCAATTCAAGTTGCGGCAACCCAGGTTCAGGAAAAGCTTCCCGCTGCCAGAGCGACACGACAGTGGGACCAGCTGCCTGGAGAGGTGGGGGGCTCTCCCACCACCTCTGGAGGCATTCAGAAAGAACCTGGAAAGAATCTGGGTGGGATGGTGCCACGTGGTGTCCTGCAACAGCAGGGGGTGGACTGGATGGCCTCCACGGCCCCTTCCAACTCTGCTGTTCTGTGATTCGGTGAGAAGTGCCCGAAGGCCGTAAAGTTTGGTATTTACTCCTGGGCATGGCTGCCCCTAAGTGTCTCATATGCCATTCAGAGCCCCTTGCCCCTGTCGGTCTGGCTCTCCCCAAGCTTTTTGGGTTGGGAGGGCCTGTCACCCAGAGTGAGTGCCCATTCATGAAATGGCTCATCTTTTCCGAAGGTGGACCAGCAAGGCTAAAAGAGAAGGAACTTGCCCGAAGACCTAAATGCAAGCGAACCCTCCTGATTTGAAATAAAAATGCTGAGGAGCTCTTCTGTTGGTAGCATGCCAGGTTCTCCTAGAATTAAAAATGTTAATTAAAATAAAGTTGAGGTGGGGCTGGTGGAGGTCCCTGTAGGCTCACTGGTGCTTGTAGGAGGCATGGAGGTGATCCCAGTATTATTTCACTGGGTGGTGTTCTCCCAGTACTGAAGACAGGAAGGCCTCCTTTTTAAGCCAGGCTTCTCAGAATGCATAATTCTGCAACAGCCCTTTTCTGTGTTGACACATCATCGTCACGGGCCACACAGAGCTCTGAGTTTTGGGGAAGTGAGGCCAAATTGTGGCATTGCTTCTGCCAGACTCTGGAAAGGCTAAAGGGAAAAGATACACAACCGTTCCTGTGTGTGTGTATATACATTTAATGTAGGCAAAAGAGTATCAAAGAAATGTGGGCAGGGATTTCGGGAAGGATGATGCAGAACTCTTGCTCACCTTGGTGTCCCATGGACAGGAGGAGAATTAAAGAATGCCATTTCAGGTTTTGCGGGTCACACCATTTCCTCAGATTAGCAGAAGTGAAGTGCTTGCAGTATTGCGGTTTCCAGTGAATTCCAGCAAGGCGTCTGATGTCAGATTTTCCTGGTCGATTGTGCCCCATGCTGATGCGTGTCCTCTTTGTGGGCGGGTGCCATCTAAGGTTTCTTGAGGGGCGAAGGTCTCAAGCAGCACCCGAATCGAGGGAGGGAAAGGGGCTGAGCATCACCTCTTGAAACACAGAGTTCTAAATCACACCGGGAGCTTGCACACGAGTAGAGCCAAGTCCCAGCAACAGAGAATGATCCTCGGACCCATGGAAAGCAATGGATGGGGTGTGGCTCGCACCCTTGGCCCTGCCCGGCCCTTACTCCGAGGGGAGCTCAGCCTGCCTGAATAGGCATCGGGGGCCAGCGAGGTCTTGGTCCTGGTCGTCTTGGAGCAGGCAAAGAGTGGTGCTCGCCTGGGCCCATGTGACCCCTTTCGTCTCTCATTTAGGGAAAGGACGGTTGTATTAGGAACAGGCAAAGGGCTCCCAAAATTAGGCCTTCAGCTGAACTATCAAGGAATGGCAGCCAGGCAAACACGCCCCTGAGAATCTCTTGTCATCTCTTCCATCACTGCCAGGTGATCGATATCCTGAGAGGAAAAGCTTCCCGTCCTGGACCACCACCGGACAACATCCGTGATGGGTCGTCCCCAGCCACCAGCACCACCAGTTCCCCAGGCATCCGGCCTGCCCACGCCGGTGAGTAAGCCCCCTCCGAGCGAGGGAAAAGCGGCTGCCTCAGTCTGGATACAGACCTTGTGCCAGGAGAGCGGAGGGCCAGGAGCAAGCGTGGAGGGGGAACCATTGCCGCCTTCTCACATTTCGATGTGCCCTGGTGAAGCAGCCGGTGAATTAATCACGACTAAATGTGATGAATCGGTGGGAGACATTTTCTTTCGATGTCCTCACCAAGCCCTGGAGGGGTTTCGCCAAGGACAGACTGCCGGGTGCTCCTTTGGTTCTGGTGTAAGATTTGTTCTGTCTCAGTGTTGGCGAAGCAGTAACTAATTTACTTCTTGAAACTGCCTTAAAGGGCAGCTTTAATCTTACTCTTCCTTCAGCATCTCAGAAAGGAATCCCTGCTGAGGTTCCAGCGATGGGTAAATTCACTTCTTTGGGGCTGAATGTCCCCGCCTTTGAGCACTCAGTGGTAAAAGCGTCTCATTGATCAGCAGCCTTACCTTTCGCGCTTCTGCTTTCTGCAGGCTTGCTCCGGGCTTCACCCGACTCGTGCCCGACAACGCCCAGCCCAGCCCAGACCCCAAAGCCCCACCGGGCCGTGCAGTCCCCCAACTCCACCAACCAGAAAACAGAGAGCATTACATCGGCCAACGGGCCATCGGCACCCGCCTCCTTGCGTGGCGTAAAACTGGAGAGGAGCCCCACTCCGCCCGCCCTGGAGCAGCCGGCTGGACTCCCTGGCGCACCTGCGTTCTACCTGCCTGTGCCCAAGGACATAATGGACGGCCCCTTCCACCATGCCACCCTCTACCCCTTTGCGACGTCCGGCCATCCCCTCTCCTCCCCCCACCTCCAGCTGCTCCCAATTGGCCTGAACCATCCTGTCGTCCCCGTGCCCACTGTGCCTCTTCCCGGTCGGATTCACCCACGGGGCACGGAGATGGACCCCTCGCACATGCTCCTGGACTTGGAGAACCCGCCAGCTTCTGGCCAGGAAGGGCACTGGCTCCGCAGCCACAACAGCGGGCCCGGTGGCAGCTGACGGCCGGCCGGGGACCGAGGGACGCCCACCGGCCTCCTGGACCTGGGAGACTTCCCCGGGAAGCTTGCACTTCACAAGGCAGAGGCCTGCGGAGCTTAGACTTTGCTGCTACGGTTTCCTGGCACAAGGCCAGCCCTGCTTGGCTGATGTGGAATCCAGAATGCCCACGTGCCTGGGGACACGCATTCCTGCCCGCGTATTTCTGTGTAGCAACATGCGGCGACCCTGAGATCTGCTGGCATCCCCGTTTCTTCCCCCCAACCACAGCGCTGGTCTCTTTCGGTTTTGTTTCTTCCCAGGTGTTGTTTGGGGTGGGGAGGGCACATTTCTAGGGGAGGAAACAGCAACCGTGGCGTCCGTCCACATTTTCCCACCTTGCGGCGGGATGGTGGCAAGCGCTGGAGTACCAGCAGTCGTGGTGCTATGTCTCCCTCCAGTGGAGGGATGTGGAATTGCACACCTGTGAAGCAGGTAGTGCCTTCACCTGAGATAAGTCTGCACTTTCCACCTTAAGGGCCGGGAGACGTGAATGGGGCCTCTCTTGCTTCCCTCTCACCCCCGGTTGTCCTAGAATTACGTATGTCAGGAAGTACAAGTGGCCTGGTGTCGAGTGGTGGGGGAGGGAACTGAAGGATGAACACCCCACAAGTGGTGTCGGGTGGGGGAAAACGTGGGGACTTTCTGAAAGCGTGAGTGGCCCAGGATTGCAATTTCAGAAATTTCTGGGCAGATCCTGAACTTTAGAGGAAGCTGCAGAGGTGGAGAAGATTAGCGGGGCAAGATGATTAGAGGGGAAGATGAAGAGCACCTCGCCGGTGATGGTGTGGAAGCCAAAAGGTCTGTTGGGCGCAGAACCCCCGTCAGCCCACCTCAGGAAGGGAACTCAGGCTGGGAAGGAATCCCACAGGTGTCCATTTTCTCTTGAAGTGCCCCCCCATGAGACCTGCCCCTCGGGGACAGGAGCCAAAGGCATCTGGACAGTCCTCAGAAAGGGAAGGTGTTGCTTGGTGTCCTGCAATCACAGGGCTGGACCCGATGGCCTCTGGCTCCTTCCAAGTCTGCCCTTCTGTGATTCTGGGGTGGGAAGGGGCTCCCATGTGGAAGGTCCTGGGTTTGGCCCCCAACACCTCCGGGCAGGGCTGGGAAAGGTTCCCTGCCTGACACTCTAGCAACCCAACCCGCTTTCCCCAGCTAGGTGCCCTCCATGTGCTTCCACCAGCAACTTTCTTGACCATTGGCCAGGCTGGCTGATGGGTGCTGTGATCCAAAGCACGTGGAAGCGCCCACATGGGCAAAGCCAGTGCTAAAGATCCGGCAGCCCCAGGTTGAAGTCAATGACAGTACGATCGGATGCTGTGCCTCAGTATTAGGGAGGCTCCTGTTTTCACTTCGTATCATTAACATTTCTGTGCCCCCCCCCCCCGCCAAAAGACCTATGTCCTGGGGGGTCCCAGTCTCTTCCCCATCCCATTTTTTCCTGCTTGTAAGAGAAAAAATACTTGAAAAGTAGCACCCTCGGATCATCCCAGTGTTGGGAAGTGTGGATGGAGAGGGGTTTTTCCTAATTTGTTAATAAAAGTATTTTTCTACTTTCAAGGGCTGTTGATGCAGGTACAGAGTTAAGTCCCCAAAATTATCCAGTGAGTTGGGGATTTTCTTCTTCAAATGGTCTCCTTTGAAGCCACGCACACCGAATGTACGGTTGCACGCTGCGTGCAAATATATGGCACACCAACTGTTGTGGGGCTTGAATGCGTTGAAGAGGTGCAAACCATGAACACCTCGGGCCTTGTTTGTATGACGCAACATTTTGAATATGCAACCCCTGTTTGGGAGCTGTGTCATGTGAACCCAGCAAGCAAGGTTAATGTAAGGCTTAAACCACCCTTGCATAACTCATGGTTTGTTTTTAGGGTAATAATCCAGAACAAGCCACAGCACGTCATCCAAATGCAGTCAGGAGAATAGAAATCATGCTAGATCAGCCTTTCGTTATAGAGTGCCAAAGAGAGGAAGCACCCATGGAAGGCCCTTCTGTTACACCAATCTTCCACACATACTAAGAAGATGCTCACCCTTGGAGGAGCCCAGCCCTCCATTGCATTGCATTGCAATGTGAGTAATTATTTCCAAGTTCTTCCTGATGGGAATGCAGGCACTGACTCATGCAGGGATGCACTGGGCAAACTCGTCAGAGACGGGTTTGCCTACTACCTTGCGAGCAAGTGAACCGTCTGTGACACTATGCAGAACTTCAGTTGATCTGCTTGCTGCTTGCAGAAGCTGCTGGGAGGGCCCAGCGGCCGACCACGCTGGGTGGAACCATGGCTGTACACGGCGCACAGGCTGAAGAACATCCAAGGAGCCTGGCTGGATCAGGCCCCGCAGGATCCCAGAAGCAGGGCACGAGTGCAGAAGCACCCTCCGGCCCATGTTCCCCAGCACCTGGTGCCCTTAGACTTACTGCCCTGATACTGGAGGTCAGCAGGATGGGTAGCCATGTGTGGCCACCTCCTCCACCCACTTTAAAGCCCAAATTGGTGGCCATTGCTGAATCCCATGGAAGAGAGTTCCATCTTTACGTGCCGTGTAAAAGACTTCCAGGACCCTTTTCTTTAAAAATAGAACCTCGGACTAGGCATTCTGGGCTCACCTACATCATCTCGGGAAGATGAAAGGACATCATGGCACGTCCCTGACCCGAGATCCTTGAAGGAGCAGGCTTGGAAAAAGCAGAGCAGTGTGGACTTTGCCCTCTGTGTCTGTGCAGATTCTGAAATTGGCAGCGGCTTCCGCCTGCCTGCACGGCATGCAACGAGAGCTGCCCGGGAGGGTGTGTTCAGCCTCTGTACCTTTCAGCGTGTTCCGGAAAATACCTGGAGAAATGGTTGCAAAGGACAGGAGACACTCTGGAGGCGATCTTGTGTGGCATGGGTGAAGAATTGTGAGCACACAGGAGATGCCTTGTGCAGAGAGACCAGAGAAAGGCAGAGAAAGAGAAAGCCCAAGGTGGAGGGGAAAGGAGCCAGTCTTGATCCTGCAGAGATCCTGGAAGCACTTAAGCACCTTCTGTCAAGAAGCCCTAAGAGAGTAGGAAGTTGCCCAGGGTAAGCTCACAGCAGAGGGGAGATTTTAATGGAGGTAAACTGCCAATAAAAGTGCATATAGTCAAGGCTATGGTTTTCCCAGTTGCAATGTATGGCTGTGAAAGTTGGACCATAAGGAAGGCTGAGCGTCGAAGGATTGAGGGCTTTGGATTGTGGTGCTGGCAAAGACTCCTGCGAGTCCCCTGGACCGCAAGGCGATCAAACCAGTCAGTCCTAGAGGAGATCAACCCCAACTGCTCTTTAGAAGGCCAGATCCTGATGAAACTCAAATACTTTGGCCACCGAATGAGAAGGCAGGACTCCCTAGAGAAGAGCCTGATGCTGGGAACAATAGAGGGCAAAAGAAGAAGGGGACGGCAGAGGATGAGGTGGCTGGATGGAGTCACTGAAGCAGTGGGTGTGAGTTTGGGTGAACTCCGGGGGATGGTGGAGGACAGGAAGGCCTGGAGGAGTGTTGTCCAAGGGGTCGCAATGGGTCGGACACGACTTCGCGACTAACAACAGCAAACTCTCTGGGATCTGTAGCTCAGTTCCTCTGAGTCGCAAAACTTCTCCTCTACGCGCCTGTGTCAGTCAGTCTATCAGTGTCTCCACTCTGAGATATCCTTACAGTCAAAGCAATAGTTCAGCTACAGATAAAGGCATAATCTAGCCAAGAGTTGAAGGCTGTAAGGAATTTCCATTTCTTTAACAAACAGCATTAACATCACTCTAGTCTGAAGGTTGAAAGTTGCAGCAGCAGCCCGCGAAGGGAGTGCTTTAGCCCAATTTTATCAGGCTCCTGTAAGCATCCGGAATGTAAGAAGATGCAAAAGGGAGAGAGAATAGGACAATACCGCCCCCTACTGGCCGATGTGGCCTATTTAAAGTTTTTCCTGTTTGGAGCCTCTTTCCGCCCTGCCCAGCCTTTGTAAATGCTGTAGTTCTTGGGCCAGACACCCAGGTGAGTCGAGAAGGGTGGGGCTCCCAGGTGAGCACCTGGCAGCTGGATATACAGGTACAGCAAGTCATATCTTCCATTTCCCAGCAATTCTTAAGCCTGCTGCCACGTGCACACTCCCCCCCCCCATAGCTACCTGAGCCTCTCCCCAAAATGTGAGCCAAGAGTGGAGGAGGCACCCTAGAAGGGTCTGTGCAAAGGGGGGAGCCAGCTGCGCAGCTCTGCTCACTCCCACAGAGCAGAATTCCAGGCATCCACACGCTTTGGCACCATCCCAAATTCCCCTTGGCTTGGGGCACCTCAATTTGTAATTCTGGCATAGGTGTGATTTCAGCCTGCTTCCTCACTCTTTATGCCAACTTTTTGCAATTCTTCCATCTCTGTGCAAACACTTGTAATCGGCTCCTTCTCTGCCTCCTTCCGGTGACTGGCCCAAGGTCACCCTGGTGGCTCCGTGGCTGAGCGGGGACTCAAACCCAGAGCTCCTGGGTCCCAGACCTGCACTCTTAACCACTACACCACACTGGCTCTCAAGTTTCACACCAGGGTTAGGACAATCTCGACCCTTGCATATTTCCAGGGAACAGAATTTAGCCCAGTTTTGCAGGCTAAGGAAACGGCCAGTCTTGAGTGGAAAGAAGACTCAAGAAGTAAGAGGGCTTGAGTTCTTTTCTACATCTTGACCCTTTTGTTCCACCCGTTACCAAAGACACTGGTCCACATGAATCTTTCTAATGTATGGGGACAAGTGACTGCCCCAAGTTTATGTGGACGTCCCCATGGCTGGGGAGGAGTGGGGCAGGAGTTGAACTCAGGATAGGGTGAACCCCACAATTTGCTCTGCCCCCCCAAAATATCTCCACAGTGCCAGATCTGAGCTCTCGGCTTGCTAAAAACTTCTTCTCGGCCTGCCTGTTCTGTGATAGGGTTGCCAGGTGTCCTACTCCGTAGGCCTCTGTTTGCAGGGGGCTTCCGTTGGATGGGATGCCCTGTCCGAGCCTGGCTTCAAACTGAGGAACGTGGGTGAGGGAGGGGAAGGCAGGAGGGGCCGGCCCGTACAGGGCTGGGACCCACTCTGGGGGCAGCCATGCCGGCCGCCTAGCCACCGTATTCTGCACTACTGAGAGATTTTTTTTATTAAGAGATGCACTCTTCTTCTGGTCCAGCATTGATGCATACGCAGAGCAAACACTTCGCCAACCCTTGTCCCCTTCTGCTCTCTCTCTCTTTTTTTTATTAAAACTTCGATAGCATCCCTTCACAGACCGCTCAGGACGGTTTACAACAGATTAATAAAATAGAATAAAAAAGAACGAAGTGTAGCGGTTGACGCAGCATCTCTCTGGGAATGACGCACTGCCTCCTGTTCGAATGGGTCAGATCCACTGCTTCGTCCCTCCTCCCACGGTTCCTACACTGCCATGCTGTGATGCGCAACAGGCTACGGCGCACAACGGCTGTTTGTGCATCCTAACGCTGCGCCCAGCAAATCGGGAAGGCACAACTCCACCCACTCCCTCTGCCTGCCCCTCCTCCCCCCCCCCCCACACTGCCCTGTCGTCCCAACTCATTTGGGGAGCACCGGGCCAGGGCAGCTTTACGTCTGTGAGAAGCCGAGCGTGTCTGCCTTGCTAGGAACCGCGTGGTCCAGGCTGCCTTTTCTGAAACCCTCTGGACACAGGTGGCATCCGTGTCCAGGTGTAAGATAAACAGCTTTGTGGCAGCCTAGAGGCTCGCAGATTTATTAGGGCGTGTGCTTGAAATGATGCATAAAATCAGACGCAGTTGAGAAGAATATACAAGGTTTAGCGGGGTAAACAAATCAAGTGAACAGGGGAGCCAAGCGCAAACAACGAAATGCAAAAGAAAAAAAGGTCCCAACAGCAACAACTACCGACCAACAGATGGGAAACATTGGGGGAAAGCAGATTTTGCCAGCCTGGAGGTTCCAAATGGGCTGGACTACAACCTCCACTAACCAAGCCAGCATGCTGGGGATGATGGGAGTGCCAGTCCAACACAAAGCGAGGGCATCAAGCTGGGCAAGTCTGACTTGTAACAAGCAAACAAGCACTGCTAATTTGGACAAACGCAAGGCCTCCACATGGCCTGGGTGTTTGCTGCCCCGGTTCCAAGGCCATTTCTCACCGCCTTGGGATTATTCCCCGGATTGTCCTCTGGTGCCAAGAATGGAGGTGCATTTTCTCAACCTCATTGCCGGGGGGGGGGGGTACTGCTTTCCAGAGGGACTATGGCAGGGTGAGAAAGGGAACCCCACCTGTTGCAACACACACACCCAACCACCGGCCTGGCAATCAAACTTGCTATTCAGGCCAATGGAAATACAGGAGCACGGCTCTTTTCGGCCTTTAAGCACAGAAACACACCTGAGATGAAACGGCGGGGAAGCTTTTCCTGCAAAACCGGGGCAAGGTTAGGCGTCCAGCAAATGTGGAGGAGGAGGAGGAGGAGGAAGAGGCAAAGCAGGCCGAAGGGACTCAGAACTGCCCCACCCCCGGTTCAGCCTGCGGCCTGTACAGCACCGAGCACGCAGCCGCAATGAGTTGTAGCGGGAGATGCCTCATTCAGGCACTGGGCGGGCGGTGCGTGTGCCTTAGGCAGCCGGGGAATCTGGTTTCACGCAGGCAGGCAGTGTCCGTGGCCACTGCGCCACAGACGGGGCGATGTGTCGTCAAGGCCCCCTGTTCTCTGCCGTTTCCTTTTCAGAGCTGGCTTTTTCTTTGATTAGGTTTTTGGCTTTGCGTTGAGGGTTTCTGCCTGCACTGCTCTTTGGCTCTTGTTTTTCCACCTTTGCTTCTTCCGTCCCCTCCCTCCCTCGCTCCCTCCCTCGCTCGGTCGCTCGCTCGCTTTCTGGCTCGCTCAGTTTTCTCCCTGACGCAAGGCAGAGCCCTCTCAAACCTGCCGTCCTGGCTCCGCGACTGGCACCCGGCTGGGTTAGGCCTCGCCCGGGCGCCTCGCCCGCCTCTCTGCCGTTCGCCTGCCATGGCGATCCCGCCGGGGCGTGCCCGCATCCCCCAGTGGCTGTCGGCCCACCGTGCCCTGGACAAGGCCCTGGACGGGCTGGCGAAGCTGCAGCAGCTGGTGACCCAGCCCCGCCTGGGGCTCCGGAACAGCCCCCCTCACCTGCCGTACCTGCTGCCCCAAACCCACCTGCACCTGCGACTCATTCGGGAACAGAACGGCACTGGCTTGGCCGACCTCTTGGAGGAGGGCTACTTTCACGTCTACCTCACCAACTTGCTGGAGAAGATTAAACAGGCCACCCGGCTGTTCAAGAAGCAGAAGCACGAGATCTTCCAGGAAGGCTCGACTGCCGGGTAAAAATCAAGGGAAAGGAGAAAGGGATCTGGCCGGGGGGAGTGTGGTCCCCGGAAGGGATGGCACGAGGAGATGCTGTCTGCACCTACAGCTTCTCTCCAGGTCCTAGATATGTAGGGACAAGGGTGAGTTCTCCCCCTTTCCCCTCCACCAAACTCCACCCTGGTGGCAGCAGCTTTACCGGTTAGGTTTCTGCCTGTTGTACGGCAGTGACCAGCACAGGGGACTGGCCGGGTTTGAGTTTGGATTTGGTTTAAAAATAGCCACACTGAAGCTCTGGAAGAAGGCAAACCTGTTTGAATGGGGAACATGAGCATGATTGATTCTTCTCTTTTCTCCGATAAATGCCCTGAGAACAGCGGCTTGGTTGGAAATAAATCCACCAGGTGCTGTTGTCGCCAGCAGTCTGTTTTCAAAGAAAGCTGCAGCAATTTAATTCTTCCTGGCACATGCAGCTCTCAAGAGCATGGAGTAAAAGATGGCAGCCTTTTTTGTCATCGACATACCTAAAATACCCATACCAAGAATGGAATCGGTCAAGAAAGTTAAGAATCCTGAGCTTTCTTATTTATTATGGTTATTATTAACATGTAGATATTGTCTTATTTGCTAGAAAGCATTATTCAACTTTAAAATACTCCAACCCATGGCCAGACACTGTACATGAACCATTTCCCCATCCACATGGTTATATATGTATTATTTGTGCATATTTGTTCTTTTCTAAAAGAACACGAAGTGGCTTGTACCATTCTCCTGTTGCTCTCAGTCTTATCCCCAGAACAACAATCTTGCGAGGTAGGCTGGGCAAGAGCCTGTGATGGGTGAGAGTGGACTAGAACCCGGATTGCCTGAGTCCAGGTCCTGCGCTCTTAACAAGAACACCGCACTGGTGCTCACTAGCTTTGAGACGAGACTTTTTATCATGCAGTCTCTTTCACAGAATTGCATTGGGTTGTGTATTCAGACAACCACATCTTTTCATCCAGCACATAAACACCCATGAAGGAGGTGGAATGCTGCGCAGTGCCTAGCGATGGATCCGCAGTGCTCGGCGCTGTACATATGGCAGCACCCCCGAGGTCCGCCGGGATGCAGCTTGGAATTCTGTGCCAGTTGCTCAAATGCGCATTGGTGTGGCAGGGGAGTTACTCCTGAGTTAGGCCTGAGAGGAGGAGGTGGGATTTCAGGGAAACCCTGTATGCCAAGGGGATGTGCGGCCACGGATGTCTCTGGGCTCCAGCCGAACTTCACCTAAAGGCTGCCGACTAACCAGCCAAACGCCAGCCTGACCGATGCTGGGTGTGCACCTCCAGTGTGAACTGTGAAAGCCACCAGGCGATGCTTTGACACCCCAGAGAGGATGCCGGGCTGGTACGGTGTGCAGATCACGTGAAAAGCAGAGGAGCAAGGCCCAGACACAAAGTTGGCAACCGTGCCCTCCACGACCCGGGCTGCGGTTCCAGTTTTTCTTGGCTGGACTTTGGTTCTGCATTATCAGTTAGATAGGGCCAGTTGCTGGGGAACCAGAGCCTCTCCCCTCCGGCATGGCATGCGCAGCCTGGAACCAGATTGCCAGGAAGTCCTGGCAATGAAAACAGTGCTCCCTCAGGCCATGGAAAGCCTGGCCTGGGCCTGCCTGCCGTCAGCAGTTCCCCACCTCCTGAGCACTTCATCTCAGCCTCTCCCAGACCTGAACCCTTCCAGGCTTACCGCTCCCATCCTGCCTCGCCTTTGGGTCTCTCCTAATACGCAACCCCACTTGCATCAGGGGTAAAAAAGAGTTTTATTTGTTTGTTTGTTTGTTTGTTTGTTTGAGATTCTTATATGCCGCCCCATTCGCATAAGCCTCAGGGTGGCTTCCAACAAATAAATAACAATACATATATATAAAAACTAGAAACATTCAGGCAATAAGTTAAAACAAAAAATAAATTAACAATTCATTAAAATAACGTTTAAATAAAAAGGTCTTGGCCTGGCGCCGAAAAACAAATAACGATGGCGCCAGGCGGACCTCTCTGGGGAGCGCATTGCTTTGGTGAAGGCCCTCCTGCGGGTGCTCACCCTCCTAGTATCTTTCACGGAGGGTTCCCGGAGAAGGGCCTCTGCCGCCGATCTCAGGGGGCGGGAGGGCACGTATGGACGTAAGTGCTCCTTTAGGTACCCAGGTTCCAGTTTTGGGCCAGGCTCTTGTGCCACCCGCAGCAGCACACACAGACCCAAATGCAACAGGGAAAGCTTTGCAGTTGCAAAATAAGGCAGGACCGTTTGCTAAAAGCCAGCACCGTTCTGCCGATTCGTCTTGGTCTTGCGGTTGGGCTGGGTTTTTAATCCTCTCTCCATGTACAGCTTGGGAAGAATTGCAGCCCTGGGGCTCCAATCGCCTGCCGCTAGGACCGTGCTTTTGGTGTGACCGACTGACCAACCCCCGTGCCTCCCCTCTCTGTTTCCCTCGCTGCAGGAGAAACCTGACCAAGCTTTCGCTGATCTTTAGCCACATGTTGGCCGAGCTGCAGGCCCTGTTTCCGGAAGGGAAAGACCAGGGCAGCACGTACCACCTCAGCAAACCGGAGGCCCAGTCCTTCTGGAGAGAGACCTGGGGCGGACGGTGAGACATTGATAGCCTCTCCTGCAGGAACCTGGGCCTGGTATTCCCACCCCCTTACAATCGCTCTTCCCAGCCCCACTGGGAATGCATTGGATTCCCAGGCTGAGCTCCCTGGACTCTGACCCGCCTTCTCGTGGCCGTAAGTGCAACTCCCAGCAAGCGTGCCAAGCGTTCGCACAGCGCTCACGGGGCACCGATCCTTGCACGGCCACTGCAGCGTCCCTCTTCTGTGCACGTGACCCTGTTGGTGCTGCGCTTGATGCAGAAGAAGGTTGCTGCTTGGCAGCTGGGCCTCCGCGAGCGTTGGCGGGCTCCTTCCCGGCTTGGCTTGCTTCCTGAGACAGGGCCGAGCACGAGGAGAGGCCACAACGGGAAGAGGGACGGATGCTGCCGAGCTTTGTCACGATCCTACTTATAAGCGTTGTCCGTGCAGCACAGCCTCGTTTTCATCTGTGCCCTCATTACACACAAGGGCTTTCAGCAAGTCTTTTCAGGCTGGGTTCCCTTTGGGTGGCCGTCTCTGGAAGTCCATTTGTACTTTTACGGTTGCTGTTTGTCCTCTTTAAGAGAGGCATGTCCTGTCTGTAGGACTTGCCCAGGACCCGTCTGAAGGCGCCTGTAACTTCTCCGTTACAGAGAGTAAGCAAGCACAACCCCACTATTGGGAGATGCTCTGTATTTCTGCTTAAATAATAATATTAATTTTCCAAACGTGCATCTATACATCCGCATAGGCACACCCAAATGGGTAACACCCCAGAAGACAGGAACAAAACTCAGTGACGGAATGCTGGGCTGAAAGGAACAGAGTGCATTTTTGAGGGGCAAAAGCCAAGTTCTGCACCTAGAGAAAAGAAACCCAGCGCCAAGTTATGAGATGGGAAGGCTTGTCTCAACAGTGCTAGAAGGATCTCAGAACTGTTGTAGATCATAAGCTGAATATGAGTCAACAATGTGATGCAGCTGCAAAAAAAAAAAAAAAAGGCAAATGCTATTTTGGGCTGCATTGATAGAAGTATCACTTCCAAATCATGTGAAGCACTAGTTCCCCTCTACTCCATGTCGGTTAGGCCTCTGGAGTACCGAGTCCGAGTCTGGGCACCACAGTGTACGAAAGATGCTGACAAACTGGAAAAGTTTCAGAGGAGGGCAGCAAGGATGACGCAGGGACTGTAACCAAAGCCCTGTGAGGAGGCACGGAAAGAACTGGGCATGTTTAGCCTGGAGAAGAGAAGGTGGAGGGGAGATAGATAGCACTCAGCAGGTACTTGACAGGCTGTCACAAAGAAGATGGCTGGGATCTCTTGAGTGCAGGACACGGAATCACTGGCTCAGGTTACAGGAAGCCAGATTCCAGCTAGATACCAGGAAACATTTCCTGACTGTTAGAGCGACTTGTACACAACAGTGAAACCAGTTGCCCGGGGCGGTCACGGAGAGGCAGCTGGACGGCCGTCTGTCAGGGATGCTGTCATCTGGAGCCCTGCATGGAGCAGAGGGCTGGACCCACTAACCTTACGGGACCCTTCCAAGGCTACTAGTCTGTGTTTGTATGAGATGCGATGCAAATCAGCATCCTCACCCAGCCTGGCACCCTGCACTTGCGCTGGAATACAGCCCCCATCCTCCCCAGCCAGCATGCTGCTGCATTTGGTCTTCAGGGCAGGGATAGATGTCTTTTGGCCCTCCAGTTGTTTCGGTCTGCAACTCCCATCAGCCCTAGCCAACATAACCAATGATGAGGGATTGTGGGAGTTGTAGGCCAAAACATCTGGAGGGCCACAAGTTGCCTCTCCTTGCTGAGGAGATAACCAGCATCCCAAGATGCTTTCAGTCCCCAGACTCCGCCACCTCTCAGGGTCCCCCGAACGTCACCCCTGACCACCCACCTTTCCTCCCCAGGAGCCTGGTATCTTGGGTCGAATTCCGCGAAGGACTCAGTCGGGTCCACCCCGTGGATCCTGGCCCCATGGCCATTGCCCTGAAATCCACCATCGACCTCACCTGCAATGGACACATTTCGATATTTGAGTTCGACATTTTCACCCGCCTCTTCCAGGTACAGCTGGGCTGGATGGGACCCTTGTGTGGGAGCCGTTTTCTCTCTAAGCTTGCAAGAAAGCATGGAAACCCAGGTCCAGTAACCAGGTGTGGGCTTAGTGGCCTCAATCTTGCCTTCTGGGACTTCCTGAAATGGGCACACACCGCTTTTCTCCAACCACCTTTTGTTTAGTGGTTCCCCAGCCTTGGTGCCGTTTCCCCCCATTCTAGAAAACTTGAAATCCCCTCCCAAAGCTCAGTGAAAGCCCAGAGCTGAGCCGTGCTGTTATTTTGACCCAACCACAGTCCCAAAGTGATCCTCCCTGGAAAGGAATACCCGAACCCTAAAGCCTCAGAAGCAAAGTGAACGAACCCAGAGGCGCAGACGGAGCATCTCCAGCACAACCCTTCCCATTGCAGAACTTCGAATTTTGGAAGAAAGGGGCAGCTGTGCTGCTGTCCAGGCTTGCACATGGCGCGAAGTCCCCGGGCTGCTTCTGGCCCTAGACGCTCCCTTCTGCACACGCCGGCGAGGCGGGCGCACCTCCCCCTCCCGCCCCCAGTGGACGGATGGTGCCTTTTCACGCATTTGCTCTAGCACCTTTCAGCAGGGAGAGCGGCCGACCACATGGCAGGATGTGGCTGCCTGGAGGGCCATTGCTCAAGGCTGCCGGGCGTGGGTGGAAAGAGGGGGTCAGCCGCCCCAAATTTCCGTTCCGGAACGGTTGACAAGCACTGCAGGTCTTTTAGTTCAGCTTAAATTGGGCTGGAAGGGAGCTGTTTGCTTCCTGGACGGGCAAACGCTCCCACTTCGCATGGACAAGTAACCGGCAATGATTTGTGGAGGAGTGAGAGGGAGAGGGTGCGTTAAGAGTGCAAGACCAGGACTCGGGCAGTCTGGGTTCTAGTCCTCACTCCGCCACGGAACCCGCTGGGTGACTTTGGGCCAGGCGGACCCTCAGCCCAGCCTGTGGGGAGAAGACTGAGAGAAGGAACGACATAAGCCGCTTTGAGTTCTTCACCAAAAGGAAAAAGGCGGCACATGCATCTCATAAAGTCATGCATTCTAATAAATATTTATAAATATGTAAGCTCAGGTGATGAATGCTGATGCAAGAGACCCAAAAGAGGGCCAGGCACAAATGAGGCATGGAGGAGGGATAGTGTGTTTTGCAGAAGTACGACAAAAATCTTTTTTAAAAACTACCCCAAAGGCCTGATTCTGCTGGGCAGCACAGGATAGCTTAAGTGTCGGCTAAGCAGCATGGCTGGCTGGCGGGAAGCTTTAACACAAGCACCTGTATTGATGGTTCAAAGTCTTTGCCACATACACACCCAGTGAGGGAGCTGTATAAGTTGCTTGGGTTCTTAGCAAGAGGAAAAAATGTGGGCTATAAATGCAGTGTTGCTTTCAGCATTATTATGACCACTACTATTATTATTATTTCTAAAAAACCCCATAATAGTCACCAACCGATACATGAAATGAACTTTATCAGCTCCAGCATGTGGGACTGGGAAAAGAGAAAACAAGCTATCGTTATGACTGAAGCTTGGCTGTCTGCATTCCCTGTGCTCAATTGAAGAGGATAATCCTATTCGAAGAATTCAATTCTTCTTACATTTGAAGGAGGGCAGGGCATGATTTGAACACGAAACTTCGCAATTCCCCCTCGGGGAAATCGTGGGGGAAAGGATGGTGCTCAAAGGACACATTTTCACCCTGTGAATGCAAGTCTGGAAAGCTGAGGCTTTTTCCCCCCGAAGGTGATCTGGCTCTCGCTTGTGTTTGGGCCCGTGCACCTGTCCCGCCACGTTTTCCCCTGAGCTGTGGCTTCCTGCCTCACCTCTCTCCCCATCCGCCGCCCCTCCCACAGCCTTGGGCCATGCTGCTGAAGAACTGGACACTACTTGCTGTTACGCACCCAGGATACATGGCCTTCCTCACGTACGACGAGGTCAAGGCCCGGCTGCAGGCGTACGTCAATAAGCCCGGCAGGTAAGGCCCATCTCCTCGAAGGGAGATCAGCCCAGGTCCAAAGTCGGCGTGCTTGGAGTCTTCCAAAGCCCGGGAAATCCCCATTCGTGGCTAAATGCAGGCTGACACCAGCACCTTTGGACCCAAGCGATTTGTAAGGCTTCCTTTTCCTGTGCTGGCCTGCCCACGGTTCGAGGACACCCACAGAAGCCCCTCGCGCCCCTCTGCTGCCTGCCACGGTCAGGCTGGGGAGTACAAGTGGAAGGGCCTTCTCCATGCGGCTCAGGAATCCGCTCCCACAGGGGGTTCAGGGGTCCCCTCTTTACAGGTCCTCAGGACACCTGCTTTTGCTGGCCTCTGGAATCTCGGGAGGCAGGCTTTCTTGATACAGTCTGTTTTTATACTTTTGATTATTTCTTTGCCTATTTGTAGATTTGTGTGTGTTCCCTTAATCCAGCACGCCACCTGGTGAGGGTTTTCCTTTAAAGGTCTGCTAAAAACTTTTTCGATTAACAAAAAACCCAGAGCCGCAAGGCCCAGACCCATCCCTCGAGGCAACACCTGCACAGCTTTTCATGCCCTACCCCAAATGCCAGAACCCAAACCTGGCAGGGGGGGTGGGGGGGCCCTCCTGGACTGATCCGTCTCCCCTCCTTCCTCCTCCACAGCTACATCTTCCGGCTCAGCTGCACCCGGCTGGGCCAGTGGGCCATCGGCTACGTGACGGAGGCCGGGAGCATCCTGCAGACCATTCCCCAGAACAAGCCCCTTTTCCAGGCGCTGATTGACGGGCACAAGGAGGGCTTGTGAGTGCTGGCGGGGAGGGGGGGGAGTGTGCAAGACACGTGTGCTCCGTGCGCCAGTCCGTGGCCGTCCGAGCTGGACTTCGCAGGCCGTTCTCAGGCAATGCGACCTCGCGCTTTAAGCTGGCTCGGTGTGTTTCAGGATGGAACGGCACGATGCGGGGAGAGCTAAGCCTTCATTGGACTTGGGGCAGAGACCCATGGAAATCAATAAGAGGACTTTAGTTGGCCATGGCTAACTGCGGCCTCGTTGATTTCAGTGTAAGCATGATAAGTCTGGATTGAACCCCATCTGTTCAGTGTGGCTTACTCCCAGGTAGGAGCGCTAGAAGCGCTTTGCAACTGGTGTGGAGCAGTGGTCAGAGGGCAGGATTGGGACTCGGTCCTGACCCTTCCTGGCTGTCTTTGGGGCCAGACACAGACTCCTGGCCTGATCTACCTCGCAGGGTTGTTGTTAGGATAACATGGAGAAGAGAAGAATCTTGTAAGCTGCTTTGGATTCCCTGCAAGAGAAAAAACAACAGGGTATAAATGTAAACAATCACAGCAATAATAATTCCTGTTCGCTTTGCCAAAGAAGCTTAGCAACGCCTGCTAAGTTTACGATCACCTTGCCAATTTGAGTTCTGCACCAGCCTCCTGAAGCCTAGGACCCCCCCCCCCCTTTGCCTTGGACTGCACTGTCCATCACTCCCAGCCTGAGAATAATGGGAAGTGCAAGCCAATGCACCTGGAAGGCTACAGGTTGGGAAAGGCTGCTCTGAGTCTTCAAAAGATGCAGTTCCTTGCAAGCCAGGAGGCAGCTGTTTGATTTCCATGGAAATGGACATGCCATGCACTCCCCAAATGCTAAAGAGTTCCAAGGAAGGCTCTCTCTCATCCTGCAGCTACCTGTACCCCGATGGGAAGCATATGAATCCGGACCTGGCAGAGTTATCTGAGGTGCCCCCACGGAACCGAATCAAGGTCTCACAGGTAGGCCTTCCCGCAGGTAGATGCATCTTACACATCTTAAAGTTTCACTGCACTGCACTTTCCTGTAACCCCCCAATAGGATCAGGCCACTGAAATACTGGGCCACAAATACAAGGAGATCTGGCAAGGAACGGGGCTCTAGCACAATACACAAATGTGCCTCTTTATTAAGATCGTCATCCGAAGCTTTTTTCCAGCGCTCTTATCAGCAGAGGTCAGGCAGGTGTGGATTGGCTGCAGGGTCCTTTTTGTGGTAGCTCCATTTCCGTGGGATACCCCTTCCCCAGAGAGATATATTTAGCACCATCCCCTTTTTCTTGCTATTTAACATAGCAGATTGAAACTGTTCTATTTGTCTGAACTTTTGGGGAATAACACAGAAACAGAGAGAGTCAGAAGGGACCTCCTGGGCCATCTAGTCTGACCGCCGGCTCCAGCTGACTCCACTTATGACATGCTTCCCATGTGCATGTCCAGCCTGTCCTTGAACACCCTCACCCATATTGGTGGAGATGTTTGGCACCACTTTCTTGCACCTTCCCCCCTTTGGCACATCTTTGGTATCATTGCCACCTTTGTGGGGTGAGGGGCATGGAGTTACAGAGGCCAGAGAGAGATGTGCTACCTCCCCAATCTCCTTTTTAAAATTAAAGCGCTGCGGAATGCAGTGCTTCTTCATTAAAAAGCTGTCCATGCAGCGGCTGAGATGAGACGCTACTTAGCAAAAATCCAGTTTGGAACCCAGGTGATAGGTTTGACAATCCTTTTGCAAGGAGGAGAACTGGTGCCCAGAGGAAAGCCAGCACTCCCACCTGGGCCTCACCTGCTGCCTGTTCCTCCGTAAGGTCTCCTCAGCCCTTGCAATAGGAAGGGAAGGGACTGCTTCGGTTGCAGTACACAGCTCCACCCTGAGCAGGGATTCAGGCTGCCTTCCTCGGGATGCTTTGGGCTGCAACCTGTCCTGCAGAACCAGCAGGCAGGTGTACTCAGTGCACCTGGAGGGCATCAGCGCGCAGAAGCCACCTGAGCCCCAGACTTCTCTCAGCTCCACTCCCCTCCCTCTGCTTCTTCTGCAGGAGCAGTACGAGCTTTACTGTCAGGTGGGCTCCACATTTCAGCTCTGCAAAATATGTGCCGAAAACGACAAGGACATCCGCATCCAGCCGTGTGGGCACCTGCTTTGCCGGGGCTGCCTGGAGGCGTGGCAGGTGAGTCCTGCACCTTCTTCCTGGTGGGGCTTCCACCGCCACCACGGCCCCACGGGGTGGAACCCACGTGCGAACTGAGGCAGCCGTTTCCAGTGTTAAATCCCACCTGAATCTCTCTAGCCCTTACCGCCTCCTCCAATGCAGTCCACGCTCTCCCGACGCTTGTATTGAAAAGGGTTTTCTTTCTGTTATTTATAAAAGGGAAATTCCCACTACTGGTTAATATTCAACTCCTGCAGTTGCTCTGTAAAAGGTCTGAAAACACAGTCTGTTTGCTAGTGTTCCAGGTGAAAGATCTTCCAAATACGCCTTGTATCCCTTCACCGCAGAAACCTCATTTTCTATTTGTTTTCCACATGACCTGTCTCAGACCTTTTAGAATTACACTTCAGGATAGGTTCCACTTCTAATTTTTCTGGTCTGTTCTGACAAAGTGAGAATCTTCTACATCTGTCCTCTTTTCCTGAATTTCTTTTCCAATTCCACATTTCTCTCTCTCTCTCTCTCCTCTCTTTTAAAGACAAGTTTGGAAACTTTACAAACTTTAGACCTTCTGAAGTAACTTTGCTCTCAACGTCAGAAAGTAAGTTGAACCTTCAGGTCACACAGAACCTTCTTTGTCCTGTTTTCTTCCCCCTTGAGCAAGAATTGAGAATACTCTCAGCCTTGGAAAGCTCCAGGGCTGGCACAAATTTTCCCGTATTTTGGAAGCATGCCTTGGGACTGGGAATGGGAAGGCATTCAGTCCTGCAGATTCTCACTTAATGAGTGCTAATATGTTGTTAGTCCAGCCATTTTCGCCTCAGCTTTGCTGGTGGGAAATTAATAGCTATAGGGATTTCCACGAGACCTTCACCCCTGGAGAGGGAGGCCAGAAAAGTCCTCTGGGTACCGGGATAGGATTCCCGCCTTGGGACTTGTAAATGCTTCTTCTTAATGGCTTATGTATGGAGAAGTGCTTAGAAATGTCGCATCAAGATATAATCTCTTCCCAGATGACTCAGGAAGGTTCACGAGTCATTAAGAAAAATCTGATTCATTCTCATTTACGGTAGCTTCATTTTATTTTGAAAACTTTAATCCGACCTTATTTCCAAAAATGATACCAGTGACGATTTCCTAAAGGCTCAGTGTACAAACCATTCACAAAGTCATTCCCATTTCAGCTGAATGGAGCAATTCCATCTCATTTGACGACGCATTTGCATTCACGACTCATTAGGGCCATTCCTAATAATAATAATTCAGCACAGAGAGGCCTCGCGCTTGTGTTTTATGGATCCAGTTGCTCTTGCGGGTCTGGACGGCTTCGCAGTCAGACCACTGGGCGCCAGAAGCAAAGGTGGAGGCTCCTCGGCGCGAAACAACGGGGTAACTTCAGGCCAGTCGCTACCTTGCCATCAGACCTACCCTGCAGGGTCGTTCTGCAGATATGGGAAGGGATGCTCAGGGCTCCTCTGCCTCCCGCCAGCTCTCTGAAGCGCATACCTGCCCCTTCTGCCGCCGGGAGATCTGGGGCCATGAAGAGGTCCTCATCGACCCGTTCAGCCACCAGAAGGGCGGCCTCCCCCCAGAGGATGATGGAGACGACGAGGACCTGGAGGACGTCCAGCACGTCCTGCAGCAGCTGGATCACATGCGCCAGGCCAAAGCGGTTGGTACCACGTGCCAGCTCGGGGAGGGGGTGGGCACAGCAGGCCGGCACGCAAGGCGGAGAGCCCCAGACCAACGGTGCACTCTGCCCCTTCTCCCGCCCCCCCCCCCGCCACCCCAGGCAGCGGATGCCGTCTCTCCTCCAGGCCTGAGCCCCGAGGGGCAGACACCTCCGGTGCCCCCGCCGCGGGCCAATCTCCCACCGCAGAAGAAGGCCCCCCTGCCCAATCCGGACTATGAGGTGAGTGGGCTGCCCGACCCGCTCCGGTGGGCCGTTTGCACCTTTGACTTCTGGGATGGAGAGGTCCACTTCTGCCCGTTTCACAGACCAGACCCGTGCCTCCTCCCCACACCTTCGCCCTGCCCTTGTGCAACAGCCCTGCACACACGTCAGGCGTGCAGCACGCTTGCTCTCCCCCACCCCCGCCTCTTTCTGACGAACTGAATGCCGGGATGGGAGCACCGGAAAAGCCGAGGAGCCCCACCGGACAGGTGCGCCGCCCTTCACGCGGCGTCAGCTCGTGTGCCCCTCTTAGCACAGAAAGTGTGGGGGCTGGGGAAGGGCCCACCTGCTCACCTGTGCGCGTGCCGCAGAGGGTCAGAGCGGGGGCCGCGTGCAAACCTGCCCCCAAGCCCTGCTGCCGAAGCCTGGCTTTAACATTCGCTTTCAAACTTCATTACGGCAGAGTTCCATCATGGCTAGAAGAATAAAAAGGGGTGCGTGGCTGCCCCCCAGATGCATTTAACTGGGGATAAGGGGAAACCTGGGCAGAAGCAATACTTGTTAAAGAAAAGGACTGTATATTTTTGAAGTAAAAAGAAGACAATTGGTATTCTGGTTAGCCATGCCAACCCTCAAATGTTTCTTAAAATAACAAGGAGTACAGGATACTGTGTCATACCACGTCCATCATGCTGGGTGTTGGGAGCTGATGCTGGGCTCGTTTGCTCCTTGATATCACTTTGGGTGTCATCTCACCCCCCCCCCCGGGTTGTGGGGCCCAGCTTTGGCCTCCAGGCCTGCCTCTGTACCAAAAATGACACCCTCCCCTCCATCTCTGCCTCCAGCAAGACCCTTCAGTCCACTGGCTCCACCAGCACCCCCTGCCAAGCATTCCCCAAGACGGCCCCCCTCTGCCAGTCCTGTGGGGTCCCTCCACATCCTCCCCACTTCACAGGGGTCAGCCGGAGCCACAAGAGCTGAGCTGATTAAAGGTAAGCTCTAAGCGATGGACACGTGTTTTCCCTGAGTGAATTCAGCAGCCTCCGCTTTAAGAGGATTCTCTTGGGCGGGGTGGGGGGGAGGTTGACAATTGCCTCTTCCCTGGCAAGGTAAACAGAGAATGCTAAAAAATAGGAGACCGAACTATTCTGCTGGGTTGCAGAATGGGATGAGAAAGGTAGGGGTGGAAAAACAGGGAGAAAACCTGCGGGGTTCTCCCTTGCACTGGAGCAATTCCTGCAGGCCCAAGGTTGCAAGCTTTCCAGGTTACACAGAATTCTTCAGCAAAATCCCCTCTGACCATAGATCAGTATCATCATGGTGATGATTCATTTCATTTCTACGCTGGCCAATAGCCGGGTGGTTCACAACAGTTCACAAAAGTTAGAAGCCACGGGCGAAAAGAATTCCAGTATGAGTCAGCAGAAGCCCCCATGGATGTGTGAGAGCAGGCAGCCTTACTCCAGCACTGAAAGGGTGACAGAGCGGGCCCCGAAGGGGAAATGGTTCCATAATCCCTGAGCCTTCATGCTCCTTCAGAGACTCCCTTGGAGGGAAGGCCTCGGGTGTTAACCATGGCTTGTTCTTCATGTGGGGAAAGTAACTCTGTTGGGCATGTGAGGCTTGCTAGGTTAAAGCAAACACTGAAGCAGGTTTGCAAGCACCCCGGCAGCCAGCGCAAGCAGGCCAGAACGGGCCGTCTCTCTTCAGACCTACTGGTCCCAGTCTTTAACCAGGCTGGTGCATTTCACACAAGCGGCAGCTTCGGAACAGTCTTCCAGGGCAGCCCCATGTGCAGTCAGGCAACCTGGAGGTTACCAGAGCAGGTGGGGTGTGCCCGGGCTGCCCGCCAAAGCGGGTAGAAGGCCCTCCATGCCACTGAAGCCCCTTGAACCTCGAGGGACCACAAGGGCTTCAGGAGAGTTTCCAAATGATGAACCTGCACCTTCAGGGGGGGCCCAGCCTCACCCAGACCAGGTGGAGCACCTTCCTTGGGTCAGAAGGACCACCCACCCAGCTGGCTTGCAGCACCTGCCTCTCTGCTGAGTCTACTCTGCCGGGTCGTTGTGCTGCTCAGATGCCATCCTAAGCTCCTGGAGGGAAAGCCTGTCTGTTTCCCTGAACCCATTTCCCGTATGAATGGTGCTTTCGTCATCTTGCTTCACCTGTTACCCAACAACAATCCAGCAAAGTTGGTTTATCCAGCCAGCACTTTCCATCTGAAGGAGGATCCCTGCTTGGCTCGAACCTTTTTCCTTTACAAAACATTTGGCCCCTGACTTGTTCCTTCAGGTGTTTTAGGTTAGAATATTGCTGCTGCATTTTCAGTTGTTTTACCGTGATGGCAGGATCTTTTCGGCACTTTGCAGTTGCCTGCTTGATTCATCTCAATAAGCATTTTGTGGCCCCTTGGGATCAAAGATGCAGTGTAAGAATTTTAATAGGAATGACTCAGAAGCTTGCATTCTCCCCCACCGAGGGAAAGCGGCTGGGTGCCAACCAGCTTCTTTTCTGTTTGTTCAGCTAGGGCCACACGATTGCCTCTGGACCACACAGTCACCTGCCGGCCTCCACCTATCGCGCTCCCTGCCGCTACCTGTGGCCAGCCTGGACTATGCAGGTTGATCTCCGGAGGTCCGAGAGCACAAGATCCCCCAAGCCAAATGTCCCCATCAGAGTGACAGTCATGCATCCCTCAAGTGTTATCGCTGGAAGCGCTGATGGACGCGGCAGCTGCCAGGATCATGGCCTTGATTTTCCCCCCTTGCAGGAGGACAGTTTTGATAAGGTCCACAGCTCCTCTCGGGCAGTGCCCATGGCATCGCTGCTGAGTGCATTGAGGGCCCTTTTGCACCTCATCATTTTCGGCAAGACACCGGCTTCTAATTGCTTTTCTGCCTCTTTTGGGGGCTGGGCATTCTCACTTTCTGGCAGGAAAGCCAAGGACATTTTCTTTCAAAAAAAACCCTGGGGTCAAAGCAAAATCTGGTTTCTTGGAAAGAGAAAAGGATCGTTTTCACAGGCATTTCAAGTCCAAGGACTGGCTAAGTACAGAATGGTTGTCCTGGGTGGACAGGCGCTAATGCTGGTTATGTCCATTAGGTGGCGCCAGTGTCTTGGCGATAGGCGCGTCCTGGTAAGTATCCTCAGGTCTTGTTCCCACGTGCAAAACGATGCCTGCATACTCTCCCTCTGTATTTTTTTGTTTATCATGGATCCCGGTGGATGAAAAGATCTCAGGAAAATAATAAAATGTGGCAAGCTGATCCTTGCCTTAAAAGTTCACTGCCATTAAAAATTCATCAAGAAAAGACACGGTTTTCTGTCCGGCGGACATTTCAAACGCAACCTCCAGAAGGGTTTGAGGTTTAGGGCCCTCCATCTCCTGGACCACAGCATCTCTTGCACTTGAACAGCAGCTGGAGAGGCAGAGTTTTGACAGGCATATCTGGGGAGGGAACATTTTCCGCCTCCCCTTGGTCTGTGCGGAGAATGTCCCCTCCCAGAGCAAAAATATTGATCCGTCTCCCCAGGCGGAGGTGACTGCTGCCTCCGGATGGTTTGCTGAGTTCAGCTCCTGTTCCAGGAACCGTTGAGAGTGCTGATCGATGCTTAGTGGTGGAATGGAATGCCGCCGCGTGCGGAGAGGGGGGTCCTCTGAGTGGGGGCGGGTGGCCAGGCCCACGGGGTATGGGTCAGACATGAAGAGCAGCAGTGGCCGCAAAGGCAGACAGAAAAGGACATGCTGCCCCTCTCGGGGTCTTGGAGGCAGGCGGTTGTCCCACGGGGCTGTGGCAGACCGGATGTGCTAGGAGGGCGGCCAAGGATGGCTTTGATGCATGGGGAAAATCACCTGTCCCAGCGCCACTGGAAGCAACCAGTGAATTTCCCCACAGATTGTGTGCCTCATGCTAATTTTTGATTCGATTTGATTCGATTCGATTTGGATGCTGCCCCATTAGCCATGGGCTCTCCGGGCCGCTCACAGCATAATAAACAGTTAACAGTGAAAACAATGCAGTTAATTCATAAAACCGTAATATAAAAACAACCAATAAGGTAACAATAAAATCAAAGAGAAAGAAAGAGGGGAAAAAACCCATCTGGGTGAAGGAGTGGTCCAAAAAGGTTCGACTCGTCCTGCCAAGGTTCGACTCGTCCTGCCGTCTGCCCCTCTGAGGCACAGAACACCTGCCCTAGAGAACTAGCATTATTTGTTGTTTATTATCATGTTTATTTTCTCTTGCAAGGAAACCCAGGTGACTTCTGTGGTCAGTCCTCCTCCTCTCCATTTTATCCTCACAACAACCCTGTGAGGTAGGTTAGGCCTAGCGGCAGCAGCTACCCAGGAATCACCCACTGAGCCGAGGGAGGATTAAGACCCAAGTCCCAGCCCGGCTTTCCAAGCCCTGCGCTGCACTGGCTCCTTGCTACCGCCCCCCCCAACCTGAAACCCCCCAGGTGTCTCTGGCCGCGTGGCCTGGCCTCCCCCGGGCAGGCTGGGAGCTGCTCTCCCACACGTCCAGAGAGTGGGCCAGGGCTGTTCTAGGCAGAACTCCCTCTTACCCTTCCTGTGCAGTAGGAAAGGCCCCAGAAAGCCGCACTTGGGCAAAACATCCACAGAAGCCGCAGCCTCTTGCCCCCAGCCTGGCTCAGCTGGCACACCCTTTGGGACAAGCAACGGCCCATGTGCAAGTCCACAACGGGTGTTGCCGTTAGAATGTAAATTGTAGCTCGGAAAATGGGCGCAATCAGAGGACAGGGCCAGCAGGAGCCGTCGGGGAATCTGACGAGGTGCCCTCTACCTGGAGCTCAGCCCAGCATCACACCTGTCGGGGGGGGTGAAGGAGGGAGGGAGGGAGGGGAGCATCTCTTTCCCCCTCTGCCCCCTGTGTTCTTCTTTTAATCCCCCACGTCACGCTGCGCCCACTCTGCAGCCTCCTCCGCAGCTGCGCTCACGCTCCGTTTCCCAATTTCCATCCTGGCCCCGAGCGAGGGGGGTGGTGAAGCCAGCCTGGGGAGGCAGACGACCGGAGGCCGCTGTGGGCGCCCCAGATTGCTTCCTCCCCCCTGGGCACACCCAGGCATCGGGGACACGCACTCCTCGGAAGCGAAATGAGGTCCCTCCGCCGGGTGTGGGGAGGGAGGGAGGGTCCCTTCATGAAGCCTGCGGCCTGCAAAGGGGGGCGGGATGAAGCAGGGGACAGGGTCCCCCATCCATCCCACCCCCTCCAAAGAAACGGCCCGCCTTCCCGCCACACGTGACCCGTCCTTGCTCTTGCATCCCAAGGATGTGGTCCAGTCGGCAGGGAGGGAGGGATACGCGGTTTCCACGGAGACGGATGAAGCGTCTTGCTTGGCCAGCTGATTTCAAGGTTGGGGTGGGCGGGATCAGAGGGGTAACTTTGCCGGCGGGGAAACCACACAGAGGAGAGTCAGTGAGGGGGAAAGACGGGGAGTGACAGAGTGGGGCGGTGGGGGGGTGGCCATCCAACAGAAAGCAGTGCCTCGGGCTGCTGGCCACTTTCAGGACCCATTTCCAGACACCCCATCCCTCCTGCAACCCCCCCCCCCACTGCCTCTCCCCCTGGGTGGCATCCAGATTCCCCTCTGCCTCTCACCCTCAAACCGGGAGAAATCTTGGTGCAGGCCTGGGCTGGGTGCCTGCCGGGGAGCTGTGGATAAACCTTGTAAGTAAATCAGTTTAATAAACTGGGACTGTTTGAACACCGAATTCACTGGCCACGTCTGAGCAGGTTTGAGTCGCTTCTGCCGGTGGGCAGCCAGGACATCGGGGGGGGGGGGAATTTTTTGCCCCTAAAGAGGGAATGGTGCACCTCATTTCTGGACAGTCGGCAAGCCCTACGCCTTAGCTCCTGGGAAAGAACCACCTCTGTCTTCGTTCCGTGGCCTCCTCACATCTCGGGACCTGAGAAATGCGTCTCTCGCTTTGCACGTGTCCATGCAAACATCAGCAGCACAGACCCAGCTTTTGCAGTCCGGTCTCCTGGTGGATCCGTGTGCCTCGGCTGGGGGGGGGGTGCGCATTGCTGGGGCCCCTCCATCCCCTTTCTTTCGCTCTGTTGTCACACCCAGGCAGCCCGCGTGATCGTGAAGAGCCGGATGCTCACCAGCATTTATGAGCCCTTAATAAGGTTTTGGCTCCGTTTGGCGGATGCATGTTTTCTTTCAGAGTTCATTAAACTGAGCCGGCTCATTAGCCATGCTCATCCGCTTCCCTGCCCTCTGTGCCAGCTCTCAGCACACACCCACCCCCTCCACACCAGTCTCACCTCCTGCTTTAGGGGTAGCCAACCCTGCCTGCACCCTTCCCTCTCCCAGTGTCTCCCCTTCCCCTCTTGCCCTGAGAGGTACCCAGGAAGAGAGCCAGGGAAAAGAGGGATACTGCCTCCCACAAAATGCAGCTTGGCTCACTTTCTTGAGCTGGCCAAAACATCTAGTCTGCTGTCCTGTGGTACTCAAGAACCTGGGAGGTGGACTGTGTTCTGGAGAATGGAACCCACCCAGGCAAACTTTCAAGTCAGGGTGAGGGGCTGTAATCAATATGGGGAGAGAGACCTCTTCCATATGCTGCTCTGGAGGTCAGGTTTATGCCCGAAGGGGACCAGGCGTGCCAGATGTCCCTTGGTCGAAAGATGACACACTGTCCCCTTTTTCCACTGAATATCAGAGTGCTGCAGAAAATGCGCGTTTGATAGAGGACAACTCCTGAGTCCATGTGCCCCAGTGCTTCCACTTCTCGAAGCCAGATTGAAGCTGGATCACCTGGGTCCAAAGAAGTAAGCTCCTCCAACCACACTTTTTCACAGTGGACCCCCCCCCCGCCCCCAGGCAGAGGTCTTTCCACTAGGCGAGCTTTTCTTCTTGTGGACGGACTCTCCCCCCCAGTAAAATGAAATAAAATAAAATAAAAGCTAGCCCTTATTCACAAGTCATGAACCTGGAACAGCTGCTGCGTTTGACTTCAATCCAGCTTTCCCAAGCTGCGGTCCTGCTGGATTGCAACTCCCATAATCCCCGGTCAGCATGGATCGTGGCATCCCTCTTGAACTCGGGCAAATTCGGTCCAGTGAAACCACCCATAAATATCCTTACGAATTAGAATATCGTGGCTGCAGCCCAGTTCTGCAGCACAGCGACCATCCGCCAGCCGGCTCCTCTTTGCACGGGTATGATGCTCCGGCCAGCTCACGTTCGCACATTTTTGCACGAGGGGCTCTCCAGCACCTGTAATATAGGACGCCGGGAGACCGCAAGGCTGTTGCGCTAACAGCGCAAGCCGGCAAGCCCGCCCCCCAGCGGTGAGGCAGCCGGGCTCCACGGGGCTTCCTCCACAGGTGGGGCGCCCCGCGACCCAGCCTGCCTGGGGGGCCCTGGGCTGAGTTCGGCCCCGAGGTCCAGCCCTGGCTGCACCGCTGGCCGGCGAGTCTTCCCCTGAGGTCGCTGCCGGGGAGGGAAGTGCGCGCTTCCCTCGCTCTGGCACCCCGGCCGAGCTTGCACACGCGCCCCCCCCCCCGCTCCCCGCGCCCCCCCACCCCGCTCACACGCCGCCCGCCCGCAATGCCCTGCACGGCCTCCCGGTGCTGAAGGACGCAGCCTCGTCCAGGGGCTGCCCGAAGGGAAGGAAGGGAGGGAGCAGGGCTTCCCACCCAGCCCTTCCGCCCATAGGGGAACCTGGGTGAGGTCCGCGCATCCACGCCCCGAGCATCAGGAAAGGAAGGCGCTCGCTGCGCCCGGCCGAGCACACACGTGCCCCGCGCCGCGCAACACGCCCGCGTTCACCCTTTCTCTGGCTTCTTGCGCTCGGGACCGTTGGAAATTGGACTGTGCAGGGAAGAAAGAGGAGCTCCCTCGCTTAACGCGCGCCCCCCTTCCTGCCCTGAGTTTGTGGCGCGTGTGGATTCCAAGCCCCAGGAGGGATTGCTGGGAGCTCGGCAGCTGCTGGTCCCAGCTCTGCCCTCTGCCTTGAGCAGGAGCCTCGCAGGCCACCTGGCTCTCCTCCCGCTCCTCCTGCGCAGCACAGGCGAAGTTTCCCCGGCTAAATCGCTGTGCGTCAGGATCCTATTCAAGGCCCGGGACAACCTTCCCAGGAGTCCGGCTCCTGTGTGTTTCCAGCTGTCAGCCCTGTTCAGCAGCCCCAAGCTAGACGCGGGACCCCAAACCCCGATGGTGATGATCATCGTGTGCAGTCAAGCATGTGCAGAGTGCTGCTTGCTCATTAAGACGGGCGTCCAAACCCTCAGTGGCTTCCCTTTACACGCTCCGCACAGATTGAATGTT